TTGTGTCCAGTTCTTGCTCACTCCTGGGCACTGAGAGATATTTGATGAATAGCTGTGATGTCCAGCGAGAGGGAATGGGACTGATTACCTCAGTAAGTAGTGTAGGGTCCATTCTTCCCACAACATGCAATTCTTGGTAGTGGAGAATGGAAAAAGAATTGCCTACAACTACCAGGTCTGAGGCTGTTTGCTGGAAAGTTTTGAAAATCCTTTGTATTTCCTAACAAAATCCTTAGAAAACTATGTGTGAGGGATGCCAGGAAACCAGTATAGCTTGGGCCTGTAGCAATTGGGGATTGAAGGATTTTTCTGACCTAGGTATAGTGGCACATGCCTGTAATCCCAGCATTCTAGGAGGCTGAGGCAGGAAGATTGCAAATTTGAGCTCAGTCTGGGTAATTTAGTGATTTAGCAAAGGATTTTTTTCCCCAGCCAATAGCGTTTCTGGAGATAGACTTTACTACTTTTCTCCTTCCTCTGTCTTTTCTCCCTCCTTCTTTTCTTCTTCTAAACTACTTTTGTCTTAAATGATTATAGCAGTTCCTACATGATGTGGAATTCTGAAAATTCAGAAGCACATGAGGAGATGCTGATAAGTGTCCCCTGTGATCCACTGATGCAGAGGCATGGCCTTCCCTTTTATCTGAACACACCAGGCAGGGTGTGGTCGTGTCTCTCATTCAACTGCCTCCGCTTATTCCACAAAGCAGCAACCGCACAGGCATGTCCACCTCTTCTCCCACTTGGGGGCATCTTTCAGGGATTGGTGAGTTTGGGGTTCTGACTCCAAGCCTGAGGCTTGCAACAAATGCTGTGCTGTTGAGCCTCAGTGCTAAGCTGGGGGGCCGAGGCCTGGGCTTTGTACGGCTGGTGGCACCACGGGGCTGTGCTTGTGGCAGAGATGAGCAGCTGGAGATGACGGCTTCCTGAGTCTTTTCTCTTTGGGCTCTGCATGCCAAGCCATGCAACTGTCTGTTGCCATCTAGAGGCCTCCACTGAAGTGACCAGTGACGAGTCACTCACCTCTCCTCAGGGTGTATGGAGTTAAGGGAGATTTTAGCGCAGAGTCGGCAACTTGGGCATGTGTTACTCCTCTAATAGACCCTCCATTCTTCTGACAGCCACAAGAAGTGAAGCATAGAATTGGGATTTCATGTTCTAGGCGTGTGTGTACTCGGTCTTAGTGAGGCGGGGGAAAGTGCCCAGTAACAGGAGCATGTTTCCTGACTTGCCTCCCCAACTGCCCTCTCACTGGGGTGAATTCTGTGCGGGATCTGCTGAGGAGGGGCAGAGATATGCGAACTCCAACAGGGGCTGCTGAGGGGGAGCTCTAGGACCCAGAGAAGAGTGTGTGGGATGTGTGTTCTCAGCCGGAGAAGGGAAGAAGTCCTGGAGGGCAGAGGTGAGAGAAAAGAGCAAGACAAAACTGGGGAACCACAAAGGCTGCAATGTGTACTGTGTGTACCACCTCCCTCTCTGTCGCTTGTGATCGGTGTTGCATTGTGGAGTTAGGCTGATACTTGCAATCGGTTGCTGGAGTTTTGCTTCAACATACAAGAGAAGAGTGGCTGGAATGACCCAAACATTGGGTTCTATACCAAAAGGATGCTTTTTCTAGGAAGAGGTGATTTAGGCACTAGGGCTCCTCCACTATGTCTCCATGAACACCTGGCACCTTACCCTAAACAAGCTGCTTCCGGTTCCATCTTCCCACACTGTACGGTGAGCCTCTCTCAGGCCTCCTTCACCCCTACGACCCAGCCCTTGACCAGGGCTGCTTTGTTAAGCTGGCCCAAACTCCCAGTGTTCCATTAGTTGCATTTGAGTTCAGCCAGCATTTAATCAGCACCCACCTCAGCACCAGCCCTATGGCAAATGAGCACAAGGAGAAATGCCTACGATGAGCGCCCACCTGCTTGGAGGTTAGGGAGCAGATTGCTGCTGAGGGGCTGCAAGTGGAAGGAAAGAGAGGAGTAAAAGCCATATAACAGCTGGAGACAGGGGCACGGGGCAGGCTCCCAGGAGAGTGGACCACTGAGGGAAGGGCTTTCCTGGCAGACACAGGGCCCCTTGTGCATCTGTGTCCTGCAGCATGATAGGCAGGAGGGTGGGGTGGGTGCTGGGAGGCCCATGGGGCTGTAGGTATCAGTTCAGAGTTCGGACCTCACCCTGTGTGTGGCCATCTCTAGGAGAAGGTGGGAGGACAGAGAGAAAGACATAGCCCCCTGGTCAATTAATGGGTTTGATTTTTTTTTTAATGTAGCATGCATTTTGTTTGAAAAATCAAATTCAGAATTAAAATTTTATATTTGCAAATGGTGAAAAGAATACCTGCTATTTTGGAAATAGAATCTAACTTTGACTAAATTTTGTCTGGAAGAGAAGGCATTGAAAAAAAAAAAGGTGTGGGGAAACTGCCCCTGGTGAAGGGCAGGGGTGTTAGCAGGGCAGCGGCAGATATGGGCCAGATTTGCAGGTTTAGAACAACTCTTTGGATGCTTGGATGGCAAGGGGAAATGTAGGGGGCAGGAGAAAGGACAGACCAAGGGCCAGAGAACGTTGGACAGGAGGAGAGGTGGAGGCATTACTGAGGCATTCTGGGTGGGGAAGTCTTTAGGACATAAAACCAGAGACTTTGATGACCAGAGATGCACAGGACAGGAGGAGGAAAGACTCAAGGCTGCTTTCTCAGGATGACGGGGGGCTAGTGGCATGGTGGTGACTGGTTGGTAGGGCTGGCTGCAAAGAGGGAGGCTATGGTATGGGGTTGGTGGGAGTGATGGTTTGTTTCATAAGTTGATTTTAAGATGGCTGTGGGATATGCAGGTGGGAAACGCTTCATAGTCTAGTGGGTGGCCAAGGACTAGAATCCACTGTCTGACTCTTTCCACCTCACAGCACACGCTGACAGCGCCCTGAGAGCAGGTGGTCATGAGGTGCCATGTGCCTGGTGCTTTCTGAACTACCCAGGATCCTTTTCTCACCACGGCTCACACTGCACCTTGCTTCTCAGCTCTGCCAAGGCCTGCAGGTGGTTCTCAAGGCACATGCTGGGGTTATGCTGGGCTAGCTGCTGCCACTAGCCAGGGCTCTTCAGGTTCTCCCAGGCCAAGGTCATCCAAAGTCTCCAGAGCACCAGCCCTGTCCAAGTGCCGGGGTCCTCTTGGGTAGCCCTGGCATAGGGCCTGTCTCTCTTCCATTTCTGTCATTAAAACTTGCTGATGCCTGTCCTGGCTCAGCTCAGCCTGACTCTGCAATCAGATATTTGGCTGTTTGCTGCCTTGGTTTACAGGTAATAACACCTTTGCCCCCACTACTTCTCAGGGGTGTCTTCATTTCAATCTGGATAACACCATAACACAAGGAATGGAGCCCTCACAGTGGAATTTCAACACTGATAGAGACCGAGATGGGAGTTATTTTCTTCATGGTACTATTTTGTTCATCTAGGAGACACATATCTGCCTTCCTAAATGAATGGCACATGTCACTTCTGGAGACAAAGGGTAAATTCTGCTATTGCAACACAAGAAACAGCTTAGGTTCTTGCCCGACGTGGTGGTGCGTGCCTGTGATCCCAACACTCAGGAAGCTGAAGCAGGAGGATTGCTGTGAGTTCGAGACTAACCAGGGCTGCATAGTGATTTCAAGGCCATCCTGAACTACAAAGCGAGAACCTGTCTCCAAAAAAAGAAAAAAAGCTTAGGCTCTAACAATTCAAATCTTAGTTGATTATAGTCCCAGGCCCCTCTGTGGCTGGATGCTGGTGCTTGGAGGAGGAAGCTGGTGCTTGAAGTAATACAACTTACCTAGGTGCAGGACTGGTCTCAGGGAGGGCAGTGGGATCTGTCACTGCAGTCAGTCAGCCCTGAAAGGGAAAGAAGGCTCCTGTGTTGGTGGGCACTGGACAGAAGCAACATCAAGTGGTGGCTGTGAGTTTGTTCTAGGCAAAAACAAAACCGCTGGAGAGGGATGCAGATAGTGCTAAACATGCCAACCACAGCGCCTTGCTCCTGGAAGCAACTTTTAGTGCATCTGGGACCTCCAGGAACTGATACGCTCAGCCCCAGGCCTGCTGGGTTGAGGATGAGGCTGTACCTTAGTGACGTGTAGCTGTCCAGGTCTCTCCCAGGCATATCACACCTTCTAAGTCCATAGGTCTTGTCCCTCAGGGGTGGGACAGTTCTTCCTGGGTCGTTCTATTAGGAGTGGTTATCAGGTCAGGGATGGAGATAAACTGAGCCAAAGCTATGGCAGGGGGCACAGGGCTAGTCAGCAATGCTGCCAGTCCTGAGTCAGACAGCCCTACACCTCTGGAAGACTATCACTCCTGTATGTGTGCTTAACCACTCTGATGATTAATCTTTTGAAGACCTTACTCTCCAGGATTTTTAGGGAGGTGAATTGCCCATATTTGTAAGAGCATAACAGCATGACATTCCTTTTTCCAGAGTACTCTATGACCTTTTATCCAGGCACTAACTTGGGGGCTTTCTTCCCTTGAATTCTAGGTGAAGTGGTTTTGAATTCACTAATTCATGGCCCATGTGAATCTGAGGCTCTCCACCTTGCCTAGGGTGTGATCTTTTTCAGGCTATTTCTGCCTTTGGGGCTGCACTGTCTATGAGTTTTGTAGCTGGCAGTGAAGTGTTTTGGGGAGGGATCCCAGGAAGGGATCTTAGCCTTGGGCTCTGACAGGAATCCCACATTCTGCTCCTTCCGCCACAGAGCAGCCTTCTCTGTCTGAGACGTCACCAGCCCTCATTCTGCAGAGGGATCTTCGAGTTCCCTGCTGAAAAGGAATTTTCATCCCAATTGTAAAGATGACAATGGTTTCTTTTCCTTTTTATAGATATAAGTTGTTTTTCAAAATTAAAAAGAATTACTTGAACTTCACTTTTAAGATTTTCCCAACAGTTTACAAAATAATCAGGTCGAGAAGGGTCACAGTGCTGCAAGCAACATCCTGATGTTTGCTGTGTGTGTGTTTCATTTCCCAGTTTCCACCTGGATGGCTGAGGTTGTGTAGAAGCAGCTGGCAGCCCTGAGAGTGGAGTGCAGGGTGCAGATCCAGCGCTGAGAGGACAGACCCTTCAAAGAGCCTGGGGTAGCCTCTGGGTAAGTGGTCTTGGCTTTTAGAGGTGATGGAGGTGATGCATGCTTTGCAATGGGCCCATCCAACAAAGATGAGCTCCCAGACACTCAGGTCATTGTCCTGAACTCTCCCCATCTTGCTCACTCAAGAGCTGCAAGAGAATTTGCCAGACCTTGGAGGTCCTAGTTGCTAGACCCCACCCCTACATCCCTGTCCCATCCCCAACGAAAGCAGAAGCCGCTCTGCAGTCGGCAGCACTGTGACTCCAGGAGAGAACTCACTGCATGATAAGGCAGCTGTCCCATCTTCCTGTTACTGAGCTGCTCCTGCTGTCAGAACATTCTTTACACCCTCAGGAAAATCCACCTGTCTGCAGTGACCACCTGGCTTCCTAATTCTGGTCCTTGAGAGTCTAGGGAATCAGCCAGTCTTCTCTCCTATAAGACAGCCCAACTGATATTTGGGGACAATAAAATGGAGTGGAAAGGTGAGGATCTGGGACCACAGACAGTCCTGGGTGAATCCATTGTCGTATGTGTGATCTTGGGGCAGGTTAGTTAATAGGAACTGAGGTTCAGTTCCTTTATGTGAAAAACTTGGACAACAACAACTGCCATAGAGTGGTCCTGGGAATGAAAAGAAATCATGAACAGAAGTTGCTGGGTGCTATTCTGTCACCATTTGGTTGTCTGACAATTCAATTCAATTGAATAACTGTATGTCTGAGTTAAATGATCCACTAATTAACGACCACAAGTTAAAGGACAAGGTCACCAACAAGACTGCTCCCACTTCAGACATCAGCCACATAGAGCATCCCAGACCACTTGCACTTCTGTCTACCCTGGCTTAAGTTTAGGGATTCCTTGGCTCCTCTTCAGGTTCCACAACTCACTAGAATGGCCCTGAGAAGATACTAAAATTTCTGTACTTGCAATCATAGTTTTACTATAAAACTCTAAGTCAGAAGCAGTAAATGCAAAACTCTACAGGGCAGAGTCTGGGTGGGAGTGGGAACACACAGATCTCTGTGCCCTCTCCTCATGGTATCTGGGTTCATCACTCTCCCAACATTGGTGTGTTCACAATCAGGAAACTCCCCAAAGCTTGAGCATCCAGAGTTTTTGGTTTTTGTTTTTCTAGACAGGGGGCTTATTTTATCAAAAGCACAGTTGATTAAATCATCTGCCCTTTGTCTTAGTTACTTTTCTCTTGTTGCCGGGACAAAGTATCCAACACCCAAAGTTAAGGAAGGAAAGGTTTATATAGCTCACAGTTTATACAGATTTCAGTCTATAATCAGCTGGCTCCACAGCAGAGTGGCAGTGGGGCAACAATTCAGCATTGAGGAAGACAGCAAAGCAATAAGAGCAAAAAGGGTGGGAAGCAAGCCTCTTTTCCTCCTTTATATTGTAAGCAGGCTACCCACCCTAAGGCAGGTAGCACTCACACCATCTCCACGCCCTACTTTTGCATAGGCTTAGGATGTTTACCAAGTGAGGACTCTGGCCCTCTGCCAGGTCACTTAGTTAAACTTCTAAACTTCTCAGATTGACACAGTGAGGGGAAGGGGATATAGCTCAGGGGTACAATGCCTGCCTGGCAAGCGACAAGGTCCTGAGTTTGGTTCCTCAGCACACATGCACAAAAATGACACAATAAATCAACTATTACAACATGTAAATAGCTGCCCTAGGATGTGTCCTCTACATCCTAGGATATAGAACTGTTGAGTTACTTAGTTAAGCTTCTAAACTTCTCATGTTAACACAGTGTATCAACCATTACACCCTTTAATTGAACTCAGCCTCCAGCCCCTCTCCCTCCTTGGACTGAAGCTCCAACCTTCTAATCATGCACTTGGTCTTTCTGATCAGACTCTTCCTTGAAATTATCTTAGGGCCCACTCGAGACACCTTATTAGCATAAACTCAGGTTGGGTTGAAAGGGGCTCATTATGAATAACAAAAGATATTCTTGCTATCTTTTAGACATTGAAAACATCCTAAGGGTCTTTGAAGCTCTGTGCCAGGAACTGGGGACAAAACCAGTTAATTCTTTCTTTCCCATCACACCTGTCCTAGCAGACACTGGCCTCTGGTGTTCTTCCTCCTGCTTAGCCTCTTTCTTGTCATCTCCAGGTTGACATGTTCTTATTATCAGAAAACAAGGCATTCTCCTCGTGTTTTCCTAGTTGTTCTCCTTTTGTTAGCATAGCTCATGACTGAGTTAGTTTTTGGACTAAAGTACATAATTACAGTTATTTAGTGTACACCTGTTTACCACTGACTCACAAGTCTCTCATTACCCAAGTTCCTAATGCTAAAATGATTCTGGCCCCTAAATGACACCTAGCATGGGCCAGCACTTGCTGCACTCCAGGCCCTGTTTTAAGTACTTCTCATACATTCACTCTGATAGTTCTTACAGCCACCTTTTGAAGTGATTATCATCCCTATGCAATATGAGGAAGCTGAGGAACAGTTAGGTTAACCAGCCCAAGGTTACACAGCTAATAATGGGCATAGCTGAGATCTGAACCCAGGTAATGCTTGTTCCAGAGTCTGTGCCTTTGACCATTAAGCTGTCTGTACATAACTTTAATCCTTTGTGGATCCCTTGATCCATTGTGGGAAGAGAAGGAAGGATCACAAAAGAATGCGTCTGGTTCACAAAGCCAAAGGCTCTGCCCTGGCCCCTGTTGTCCTGCTGATGGAGTCAGTGTCCCCACCTTACACCATCTCCACAGGAGCACCTCAGGAACTGCCCTGTGAGGTTAGGATCTAAGCAGGGCAGGGGATCAGGGGCATAGTAGCATGGGCTCCTCTCCCTCAGGCTCAGGACTTCTTGGTTCCTCATGTTTCAGGGAGGAGTGAGCTGCTACCTGGGAAGTGTAGCCACTGTACACCAAAGGGAAGAAGACCACCTTTTCCTGCTGGATGGACAGGACTGAGGCTAGGAAGGCTCAGTACCAGGCTGTGCTGGCCCAAACAATCCCTATTCCAGAGAAGCTGAGAGTTTGGTAGCTGGTGGGCTTGGAAGGAACACATCCCCGTGCTCACATCCAGTGTATTCATTGGGGAGGGAAGGTTGCTTGTTGCTATTTTAAAAATAATATCCAAGGTTCAGGAGATAGAAAGTGCCATAGAGAATTATTTTCCATGATGAGTCACTGAACTGAGCAGTGGTGGGCTGAGTGGGGTGATGCAGAGGGAGGATTTTGATTCGCGGCTCTGCCTGCCAGAACAATCTGGGTGGTGACCGCACGTCTGCACGGCTGTGGTACATTGCCCTTGTATTTGACCTTGCAGTCTCTTCTTACTCTCCAGGTCCAGGAATGAGGCTGGGTGGGAGCATAATGGAGGCAAAGTATCCTTAGCTGATTCCAAGCTCACGGGATTGACTTGAGGCCACAGGCCACTGTCGGCTGCTCATGTATGTTCTTGGCAGGTGTTTCTCTTTTAGCACCTGGCATGAGGAACAGGCCCCAGGGGAAGGAGGTAGGTCCTTGCTGGGAAACTCACATCCTCCACCCTCTGCCTTTTCTACATGGATCTGTCTCCAGCTTAGATGAACTGTGTAGCATCAGAGCTAGAAGGCTGCCCCAGAGGTCTTTCTTGTCACTCTCTCACTTAGAGATGTACAAAGTAAGACTCAGAGAAAAGAAATGACTTACCCAAGCTCAAGCAGGTAACAAATGACAGAACTGAGGCAAGATTTCAGGCCTCTCACTTCTTCTAGCCCAAGCAAATTCTACCAGAAACATCCCTAACAGATCTAATCGCTTTCTCCATTTAGATGAAGACAAAGAGTCTGAATTTAAATGTTTCTAAGTACAGCCTGCAGTTGTTCTATCAAACTGCCAACTCTATTTTAAGAGCTCCTTTAGAGAACTTTTTGAGGGGTTACCTCTCCCAGAAGACTCCTCCTCTACTCCTAGTCACTTACCCATCTCTTGTTGCTAAATATCTCATCAACACGACTGATAAGGGTGGTGTTGTTTCGGGGAGATGTGCTAAGGGCTTTCATAAGGAGATGACAAATTAATGAAAGAGCTAAGAATAGAGGCTACGTTTGCTGGCCCTGTAGAAGCAGATCATGGTGGCATATGGAACCCAGGCCCAATGTATCATGGCAGGAGGTGGTTTGAGAGGCCTGGACAGGTATGGGAAGTGGCATGACATGACATGAGTTTAGGAACTTGTGGTTTCATGCCATCTTTTTTGGCTTGCTAGAAATAGCCATCTTCTGGAATGGTTGTTATATTATATGTCACAACCATTAACATGTAGCCTGTAACATTTTGACTCTGGTTGCTCTTTAGAATCACCCAGGGAATTTTAAAAAATCCTCATCTCCTTGTCACTCTCTAGACTAATTACATTAGAATCTCTGACATCAGTAGTTTAAAGTTCCCCTGGTGATGGCAATGTGTAACCAAGGTTGAGAAGCAGTGTTCTTGGCATGGGTTCAGGCCATCATGAAACCCTTGAGGGACTCTGTCCATGTGCCTTGTCTTGAATTTGCTATTCACATTTCCCTGAAAAGAAGCATGCAGACAGCAACCACAACAGGCCAGTTGGGTATTCTAGGTTGATAGAATGGACTCCTACATGTCTTCTCTGGGGGAGTCCATGGTATTATCCTCCACTCACACCGCCCAGAGACTGTAAGGGTAGAGGATGGAGTCCTGATGGGATGGAAGAAGTGGTCACAGGCAGCTCAGGGACAAGGAGAATGTTCCCTACTCCTTCGTAATGAGGCTGGAATGAAAGTTAAGGCTGAGGCACATGGGACTGCTGAAACAAGACTGGAGGGGTCTGGGACTGGTCAGCCAAAGGTCAAGTGCAGAGCAGGACCTGGGAGGTCAGGAGCATTCTCCCAGAGAATATAATGGCAATCCCTCTCCTCATGCAATGGGGGGCCAAGGAGGAGCAGAGGGCTGAGAGCCCAGAGTCCCAAGCCCTTTTAATATTCTTCTTTCTCCTTATGTTCAAAAGCTAACTATGGTTCACTCAGAGTTCATATCTTCATTTGTTGGGAAGGGAATCAGCCAACAGGCAACAAGATAAAGCACAGGGCAGTGAAGGTGCATACCACAGTCTTAAGGGCTGGTAGAGCTGACACATGAAGGGAGACTGGCTTAGCCAAAGTCCCACCGCCGGGAAGTGAAGGCTGAAATTGCAGCCTGACTCCTCAGAAGAGCTCCAGTATAGCAACAGAAGACATCCTCTTGTTCTCCATTCATGCATTTAAACAAGCATGCTTAAGGAGAAGAAAGATGTGGTTTGATGGTCTTCACCGCACAGCTCAGGCCTCAGTGTGTGGGGCTGTGGGCACCTGGCCACCTGGCTCCCTTCACACAGTATTAATTCTTTGTTTCTCAGGATACATTTAATGGGGTTTGGGAAAAATTACATTTTTTTTTCTGATATAAATTGCATAGTTCTTTTTAAGCTTGGTAAGAGTTTGATTCTGCATGAAGCCACGCTTTACAAAAAACAGATTCACCAATGGTTCCTTTCCCTGGGCCAGAGCACTGAGCAAAGTGTTTCCCACGTTTTAGTAGAGATGCTTGTTTGCAAATTTCCTCACCACATTTTTTGAGGATGCTTACAGGTGGGTTTACATTTATTTATATATTTATCTATTTACACTTATGTAGCCATGCTGGGACTATAATCCAGGGACTGGGACATGCTAAGCAAGTGACTTATCCCACCTGCCACTTAGATGAAATACTGACTCTCACTAAATAGCTTCCACTATGTAAGTATGCATCACAGAAATGCTCAAAAAGTTTCGCAGGTCATGCTTCCACTGGGACACTCCACTGCAACCCCAGTGTGACCACTTAAGCCTGGCCCGTGTTTTCGCGGGGCCTGACATATCACAGCGCCCCCTATCGGTCCTGCTGCATAACCACAGCACCCCACCTTCCCGCTTTACCAGCCCTGTCCCACCCTGTCCCTCCTCCGCAGGGTTCTAGGAGCCGATCGCAGCCCTAACAGGAAAATGAGTGAAGAGACAGTCCCCGAGGCCGCCTCCCCGCCGCCCCCCCAGGGGCAGCCCTACTTTGACCGCTTCTCTGAGGAGGATCCGGAGTACCTGCGCCTTCGCAACCGGGCTGCCGACCTGCGGCAGGACTTCAACCTGATGGAGCAGAAGAAGCGCGTCACCATGATCCTGCAGAGCCCCGTGAGTGGGTCGCACCCAGCTCCAGGCTGGGGTCGGCAAAGGAGGGAGCGGGGCGGGGCGGGGAGCGAAGGGCGGGCCGCTTCTAGGGACTCCAAAAGACCTCGCTCCCCTTCTCTGCTCAGGGTCGGGGCAGTTTAGGCACCACTGCCTTGTGGTGTTTGTCTTCCTGGTCACTAGTGGATGGCAAAAGCGGGGTGTGTGCCGACAGCTTGGTTCAGAAAGCGGGAGAGGGACAGGGGACCCGCCTCAGAGCCCTTTGCCCCTGAAGTCCTCAGTTTCCAGTCTTCTGTCCCTCGCCAGAGCAGAGGGCACTACAGAGAGGACTTGGGGGCTCCCTTTACTGAACTCACTGTGGCGCGAATGAGGCTTGAACGCGTGGGGCAGGTTGGGGAGGGCCCAGAAGTGGAGGTGCTGCGGGCGCTTGGGTGGGGAGGAAGAACTGTGTGCCGGGAAGCAAGGGGAGTGTGGGCAGTAGAGCTTGGGGCTTCGGGAACAGCACGTGATGCTAAGGGACTCTAGGGACAGGGCTGCGGTCGCCCAGTACTTAGCAGGATAGGCTCAGGACCACAGGCTCAGCTTTGCTTCACTCTTGTGATGCCCACCCACCTACCCGGCTGTCCCCGGCTTCAGGGAGGCAGGACACCACTGTGAGCTGTGTGCCACCCTGGCTGAGAGAAGGAGTGAGTCTGAGGTCTTGGCATCGTACCACTATGGGAGCCTAGAGGATAGCAGGTGCTAAGAGCATTGGGGTGAGGAGTCCCTGGGAAGATCCCCAGAGTGTGGATGGAAGGGGTGGCAGGGTTAGATAGCACCAGCCTAGGTTCAGGGACCCCAGGCGGGAGGTGGGGACTGCAGGAATCCTGCTTCTTCTGACCTTTTTATAGGATTAAGCAGCTCCCTATTTCCTTCAGGTGTTTCCTGCTGCCACCTGGTGGGTAAGATGCCCAGTTTATGCCCTGGTGCTCAGAAAAGCTAGGCTTCAAAAGGGCATCAAAAGTGGGAGCCACTTCAGGGATTATCAGATCCTTCCACCTTTCCTGCTACCCCTTTATCAAGCACACTAGGAAGCTGAGGCCCAGAAGAGCCATAGGCATGCAGATGCAGAGGGAAGGAGGCACGCTTTCTCACTCAGTTCTGCTTTTAAACATGCCCTCAATTACTAAAGTGAAGTCCTGCATGTCTTGCCCATTTTGTGGACACAGGAAAGACCTGGGACCTAGATTACTAGCCCCAGGACAAAGAATACAAGGACTCATTCCCAGCACCACCTCTTAGCTCCCCACCCAGCAGTCTGGGAAGGCTCCTGAGGTCCTTGGAGTGGAGTTGAATCTGGGGTCCAGGAAGCCCAAGAATGGCCTGGGCTAGCTGACCCAGGGCTGGGGGCAGACACTTGGGAGGGCTCATCATTCAGCAGCTGTGAGTTTCTCAGTTTCCTGTGTGAGATGCTCTGGGGGGACCAGCACCTCTGGGCCTGCTTCAGTCTTTCAGGGAGGAGCTGGAAGGCCTTATCCAGGAGCAGATGAAGAAGGGCAACAACTCCTCCAACATCTGGGCCTTGCGGCAGATTGCGGACTTCATGGCCAGCACCTCCCACGCAGTCTTCCCAACATCTTCCATGAGTAAGTGGGTGTCTGGGGAGCTGCCAGGAGTGAGGAAGATGGGTGGGGTGAGGAGGAGAGGGAGGAGCAGGGAGAAGCTGGTTGCCAGGTGACAGTGCAAGTGTGCAGTTTCATTAGCAGGCCTGGGGGAACTCAGCAGAAGCCAGGGAGGTGGCTGGCTCTGCTTTTGATGTTGCAGCAAATTAAAGACCCACAGAAGAATTATCCACGATGCCAGGAATGGGAGGAGTGGAGGTGACTTCAGGGGATGAAAAAAGGCCATGGAAACCAGTGTCTCCATGCCCCACTGGATAGGCCAGCTTGGCTCCACAGATGAGCTCCAAGAAGATCCAGGGCTGTGCATGAGTCTACTTTCCTAGGCTGTAAAGTTCTGCTCACAACAGATACCTTAAAACAAACATCAAAAACGCTGCTGCTCAGCATGATTGACATAGGGTGATGGTTGAAAACTAGGAAAATAATCAGGGTTCTTAAAACCTGGAAATTATTATTATCAATATTTTGGCATATATCCTTTCAACCCTTTTCTCCTAAAGTATATAGATTATGCAAAAACAATATAATCACATTATACATATAATTTTAGTAACATGTTAACTAGTTTTTCACCTAATAAAATATGATTCTACAATTTAATCTTTAGTGGATAAATGCTATTAATCAATTTCTCATTAGTGGACTTTTAGATTGTTTTCAACTTTTTGCTATTATGAACAAGGCAGTAAATATCCTGTTAAATAAATCTATGACTTTATCCATTACTGTTTTCTTAAGATAAATTACAAAAAGTAGAAGTGCTGGATCATATTTAAAAGACTTTTATGTATAATGGCTAGTTAGGTTCTTTCTCCATCCTAGAGAAAGATGGAACGAATTTACATCCCCAGCACTGACAGTACCCATTCCTCTACCCTGATGTGTAGTGTATACTACAATGTGTCTTATCCTCTGGTTTTACAGGCTATAAATAGTTTTATTTTGTTTTACTTTTTGCAGTTTTTATTTTTTATTAGGTATTTGAATTTTAATATTCATTTATTTTATTACTAATGAGATTGGATGTATTACACATGCTTATGTACATATTGGACATGATTCTCTTTTGTAGTAAATTGCTTGTTCACATCCTGTGCCAATTTTCCTGTTACTATATTTTTCTTATGGATTTTCAAATCTTTATAAATTAACACTATTTCCCTATTATATTTCCAATATATTGCAATTATTTTTCTAATTTTCCTTTGCTGTTTTTCTCACAGTGTGCTTTTTTTCCCTTTCCACCTTGTAGAGCTCTTTCATTTCCAAGTAGTTGAATCTATTATTATTTTGGGGGGGTTCTGTTTTTTTAATGCATGCTCAAAGGCACCTTCCCCATGTTTTATTATCTGATGGGACAAATATGATTAATTACTTGTCCATTTGATAATTATCCTTGAATGTTTGTACAAGTTTGTTCTTTAAAATAATTTTAAAACTATTTGCCAAGCTCCACCCACATCTACCTTAACGAATCCTTTTGGGAGTTTGATTGGGATTGTATTAAATGAAGAGAATTATTTAGTGGAGAATGTATAGATTTATAATCTTATATTAGAATATAACCTCCATGGGAGAAATGTATACGTTTGATACTGTTTCCTAGAATAGCATCCTGCACTTAGAATGGCATTTAACACATGGAAAGTACTTTAAAAATATTTGGATGAGTACATTTTAAATATTTTCAGAAATGAGGGACATTTAAGTCTTCTTTAGTGCCCATTAGAAAAGGTTGGTAGTTATTTTTATGTAGTCGCTACTGTCTTAAATTTATCTAGGAAGCCTTATGTAGCTTCGTTATTTTAAATAAATCTTTTTCCATTCAATTTTCTTCCTGGATTTACATGTATATATATTTATATAAATTCTCTTAAATTTTTATATACAGAAAATCATATAATCTGAAAATTAATGGTAATTTTTGCCTCCATCATTCCAATATTTGCCCTTCGATTTTTTTCAGTTTTCTCATTTCACCCGTTAGTACTTTCAGAACAATGTTTAATAATATATTCGAGAGTAATCACCCTTGTCTTGTTTCTGGCTTTAATGGAAATTCTTTTACCACAGAATCTGAGATAATTATTTTTTACCATGTTGAGGAAATATCTTTTTATTGTAGTTCATTATAGGTCTTTCTCAGAAATAGATTTTAAATGTTATAAAATGCATTTTGGGCATTATTGATTTTTCTTTCCTTGAACAATTGTTGTGATGAGTTAGAGTAATAGAACTCTGAATATTGAGCTGTTTTTTCTCATTTCTGTAATAAATAATTTCTAGTCTTGACAGTCTTTTAAAAATGCTCTTCTAGATTTGATCTGCTAGAATATTGTTATGGATTTTGGAGTCCATGTTCACACTCGAGGTTGGTTTGCAGTTCAGTTTTGGGGCAGTCTTCATCTAATACTGGTATTAAGGCTATAATTTCATAATATGGATTAGGGTAATCCCAACCTTTCTTTTTGCCCTCATGGAATTTAAATAAGATAGGAAATCTCTTTTGTGACAATGTATTACTCACTTGCAAAACCATCTAGTCTGAAACATTGTTAGAGATCTTTGACACTGTCTCTTTAGTTTCATCTAGAGTTTTTAAAAAATGTGTTTTGCTGTTTCTTCAGTGAATTTTGCTCGTATATTTTACATGAAATAATTCATTTTATTTTTCAAAATTGTTAAAGTGATTTACTTTGTTTTCTTCATTTAAATTTTGTGCTATGAATGAAATGATTCTTATTCCTGCTCCTGTATACTTCCCTTTTCTCTTTACTGATGGATTAAGGTGTTTGTTTATTCAGAGATCTTCTCGCTTATGCCAAATCTTGGATTTACTTATCAGTTCTACTATTTTTCCTAATTTCTAATTTGTTAATTTTGTTTTTATATTTATTAATTCTTTTCCATAACTTTTCATTGGTTTGCTGTGTTTTTATATTTTTTCTAAACTAGAATAAATTAAATTTTATTTATTTTCATATAAAATAAATATTTTATTTTCTCTAAGTATAGGTTTGGAATGACTATGAATTTTAACACAATTATTTCATTTATTGTTAGTTTCTGGGTAGTTTCCAATTGCTATTTTTGCCTTTATTTACTTATTTGCTAGGATTGAACCCAGCACCTTGCACATGGTGCTCTGCCACTGAGATACACCCCAAGCCTATTTATTTTATTTTTTAAGAGCTGCTAGGGAGTATATTTTCTTACTTCTACATGGTTGAAGGCATATTCTTTTAAAGATTTAGTAATAATATTAGACTTTATTGCATTATGTTTGGAAAATATACCTTATTTGATTTCTGTTTTGGGAATTTTTAAAAGTTTGTTTGTGGCCAAGTAATATTCTCTTTAAATTATACATAGTTATAAACAATCTCTAGGACATACTGTTTAATCTCTATTTCCATTTGCATTTGACTGTTTTATTTATTTGGTTTTTTTCCGGTACCGGGAACCAAACTCACGACCTTGAGCTTGCCAGGCAGGCGCTTTGCCACTGAGCTAAATCCCCAGCCCCATCATTTGACTGTTTTTAAAAATGAAAGTTATACTATCTTCTACTGTGTTTGGCTTATTCATTATTCTTTGTATTTATGATGATTTCTGTTTTACATTTCTTGATGAAATATTATCCAAAGCTTGTGTTTATTATTGCTATAATTTCACTCTAGATTGTACCTTTAATCCATATAAAATGACTTTCAAAATGGCTTTCTTTTTCCAAGAGAATATTGTTTTGCCCAATTCTACTTTGCTAATAATATTATTACCTCTTTTTATTGTCTCTTTTTATTTGTCTGGTATACTTTTGATCTTCCTTTTATTTTTACCTGTTTATGGTATTTCAGTGGTTTCTGCTTTTTTGGCTTATTTGGCTGTAACAGAGAAATCTGAGACAACTTATTTTTGTTCCTTTGTCGGTAGCCAGATTTTTTTCTACAGGCTTGTGGATTTTTCTCCTAAACCTCTTTGCCCTAAAATGTAACAAGTCCTTAAAATGTGTATTCACAGGTCTTTATTTCAATCAGAAAATTTTTCCTTTATTATATCAATACTGATTGTCTCCATGCTGGTTCTCTGGTCTTTGCTTCCTATATCCATCATATTCTCTGTCATTGTTTTCATGTCTCTACCCTTATACTCTTACTTTCGAGGAACACATAGGGCTAACCAGCATTCTCATTGCTTCACCAATAAGCATCTGTCAGGGAGAAAGGTGATGCGGTACTTAAAATAATTTGATGAGTACATGTCTATGGTATCAAAGGTAAGGAATGTGGAGAAAGCAAGTTCCCAGTGTCATTCAAGCCCAGATTTGTCATTCTCTATCTAGCTCCATTTGCTTTAGCATTGGGAGTGAAGAGAAGGAAGGCTGGTGTTAGGGTGCCCTTCAATATTAACTTTAAGGGCACTTGGTTAAATTTTCATATTTTTTCTTTGTTTTCTGCAGTAAATGAATAAATGGCCCAGTTAGATCTGCTTCCCACACATGGCGTTCAGCCATCCTAACTTTCATGAAGCAGGTCGGAATAAGTACTTTGTACATTACGATCCTGAGAGTGAAGAATTGCTGTAGAGTCCTCCTGTTCTTGTCTCTTGGCCCTAAGTCCTGTGGGTGAGGTAATTCTTGTAGTTGAAGCTCCACAGGGCAGGGTCGAGGGACTCACTTTGAGACTGACACAGAGGATGTGATGGAGTGAATGTTTTCAGATCTGTTCTGGCCTCTTGGCCATCTCTGGAGCCCCAGAGTTTCTTGTAAGAGATGAATTCAAAGAACTCTGGGTCTGAAGACCCTCCCAACACTAGTCTCACCTGCTTGGCTTTGCCAAAAGCCAGTGCTTTTGATATGCAGTATTGCATCTAATCTACCCTTACATTTTCAGACCATCTCATCATTTCAAAAAACTGCAAGTCTGATGCAGGACATACATCACACTGTGTAGCAGAGAGGTTTACAGAGATGCCAAAAGCTTCCAAAGAGCCTTTTAATCCATTAAAGATTTTAGCAGGGAGCTGGGAGAGGCAACATCAGGAGGCTCTCAGCCAGATATCATTTTAAGCTAGAATCCTTTCTTATTGATTTTTTTATTGGTTCCTAGACACTGATTAATCTGAATGTGGGGGTGGATTCTCAAATGCCTTCTTCTTCCTTCCAAAGACCTGGTCATGCTACTGGAATAGACACGACTTCAAATCCTAGAACTTTTGGGTGTCCTGAGAATAAGACTATCAAAAATTGAGGCCTCATTCCAAGTTCTTTCCACCTTCCTTCCAAAATTTCCTAAAAGATCCATCACATAACCAAGGGACTGCCTGCAAGGAGGAGCAGACATGCCCTGCTGGAAACTGCAGGCCCTTCAGCAAACCCTGACTTCAGGGGTTTATGGTTCCTAAAAATAACTCAGGAGAAGTTGACAGATCTACTTCCTGGCTGACTTGGTTCTCTATTTGCCATCTTTCAAAATCACAGAAAAATTGTATTGCATGGAATAGTTAAAACAACCTGATCAATGGCTAGTCTCATGATTAGTAACTTCCTTAACAGAACTAACTGATGAAATATACCTTTATTTCTACTCAGAAATTTGTTATTGCTTTATTCAATGTCCATCTTCAGGATTTATGGTAGGTAATCTTAGCATTCCACGAATACTTCATTCTGTGAACCTGAGTTTTGCTATGATTTTTGACCAAAAGCAATGCCAGGCTTACTCAAATTAGCAGAGGACTTTATTGAGCACAGATATCCATTCTATGGATTTTCTTTACTGGGTAAGGGTGAAAGTATTGAATTCCCTGTGCAGCAATTCTTCGTGTGCAGTCATAGTGCCAGTGAGACTTTGGAGAGGCCTAGAGCAAGGAATGGGGTGGTCATAGCTGAGGGAAGCTCCTGAACTTGAGTGAGCAGCACTGTCCCTGGTGCTGTCCCCTGCAGACTTCTCCATGATGACACCAATCAATGACCTCCACACTGCTGACTCCCTGAACCTGGCCAAGGGAGAGCGGCTCATGCGATGCAAGATCAGCAGTGTCTACCGACTCCTGGACCTCTACGGCTGGGCCCAGTTGAGCGACACCTATGTCACGGTGAGGAGAGCACCAGATCCGGTGGGAGAATTCCTGACCCTTGGCATGGCCATAGCACTGTTGGTGGCCTTTGGCCGAAATGCAATGAACTCTTCTAAGATTTCTAACTATTGTGGCCACTAAAATAAAAACTTTACTTCTTTAGATGGGGAGCAGGAACTCCTGGATCCTTTATCTAGGGCATTTCTTGACGATTTCAAGATTCCTCTTGTAGCTCCATTTCCCCAGCTCCAAATAAAGATCAAATCCTCTTCATCTCTTAATGGTAAGGGAAGAGAGAAAGATTCATTGGAGGAAGATTTGAACACAGTAAATTCAGGAAGAGAAGGGATTCAAATACAGTGTCCTTGAAAATGTTCCATCTCCCTCTTTGTCCCTGAGAATGTGTGTCTCTCCTCCAGTTGAGAGTCAGCAAGGAGCAGGACCACTTCCTGATAAGCCCTAAGGGAGTTTCCTGCAGTGAAGTCACGGCATCCAGCCTGGTGAGTATTACCTACTGTCCCATTGCCCACTCCTTTTTGAGATAGCAGAACTTCTGCTCCTACAGTGATAGGTCATCTACAAATTAGCCACTGTTGTCCTGTTCCTTGTGCAGCTCACAGTCTAGTGGGGCAGAGAAGACACTTGGAACAAACTAAGCTCTCAGAGAACAGTGTAACCAAGAGATTAAATGCAAGGTGCAGGCAAGCATGACAAGAGGGAGTGGGAGAGGAAACAGCCCAGGGGGCTAAGCCCGGGACTGCACCATGAACGTGGGAGTTCGGGCCTGCTTGGATGAGAGATACATTAGAACAAGAGTCAAAGCCCTGCAAGATTCGTCTGGTACTGAGCCATTAGAGATTGCTTCTAGGTCCCTCTCAGTGCTGGTCCTTTTAGGTGGGGTAGGAGGAGACTTCTAGAAAGTAGTGCAGATCAGAAAAGATTTCTGGGTGGAAGGAGGAAGGCCGTGGGAAGAACTATCTCAGAAGCAGAAAGGGACCAATCCTTCTCAATTGCATGGACAGAGGTGGTTGCTGTGCCATCTCAGGCACCTGGAAGAGGAGGACACCACCCCAGGGGCTGCTGCCACACTGAGGATGTGTGCAAGTGCAGAGTCCAAGGACTCAAGTCCAGAGACTATGGTGACAAAGCTACAGATATCCAGGCTGGGGAGGACCTCAAGGATGGCCAAATCCACTTTATTGGGGGGAAGGATACTGGTACCCAGAGAGGTGGTATAGCATTTTTTTTACTTTATTCTGCTGGACATATAGAGCCACTGAAGTATTATAAGCAGGAGAGTGAGGAGATCATTTACCATTATACAAAGATCACTCTGACAGAGGTGTGGATACCAAATGGCATCAAGACCACCATTTAATCCATTTATACTAAGCTGAGAAACAAAATTTGGTCCTAGGGGGCTGGGGATTTAGCTCAGCGGCAAAAAGCGCCTGCCTGGCAAGCGCAAGGTCATGAGTTTGGTTCCCGGTACCGGAGAAAAAACCAAAAAAAAAAAAAAAACAAAAAAAAACAAAATTTGGTCCTGTGTGTTCACTGGGCCTGGTGGTCAGCTGGGTCGGGAATTAGGATCTAGGTTGAGAAGCTGGTTGGACATTCAGGAGGAAGTCACTTGGAGATGTGGTTTGGAAATTTGGGAGAGATTTAGTTTTAAGATACAGCTCTGAGGGTTATGGGCATGAGAGACTTAGAATACGTGTATAGACTGAGTTCTGCTGTGTATGGCTGTGCAGCTTGTGCACTGTGCAGAGGAACCTTGCTGATGAGAAAGAGAGGAGAGGATAAAATCCAACCGGTGCTCCGCTCACTAAGTACTGTATGTCCTGGCACTCGGCTTCTTTTTCAAATTTGCAGTGACAGCATTCTGTGTCCCTGGGCCTGTCCTCAGAGAGAGTATTTGTTTTCTTATCTGTAAAGGCACTGTATGGGTTAGGCTGTAAAGATTCTTGACTGACAATAGATCACATGTGCAAGGATGAAATAAGGAATACATGAGATTAGAGAGGGATCATCCCAGAGAGGAAATTCTGACTGGCCACACATCTGAGAAAGTGAACAGCTGAGCTGCAGAGAAACCAAAAGCTACCATCAGACCCTCAGGTGCCTGAGGCAAGAGAATTGCTTCCAATTTCAGGGATCAAGTCACTTGGAAGTCATGTTCATTTTGTAAAATTCACTTCTAATAGAACTGCTCAAGAGGGAATTTGTTTTACATCTTACTGATACTTGTGGGCCTATGTCCTTCCTTTGGTCCCCATCTTGTCTGTTAGGGCTTTCTGGGACGCATAGGGGTGGGCAATTTATGGAACTGCTCTGTGTGCTAGATTCAGAATGTCAGGGGTTCTTTAGTTTTTAGAACCACAGTTGCAGTAGTGATTTTTAGAAACTATAATCTAGCTTATTAACGTCCAGAGAATAACTGTAGTCACTGAATTAGATTAAGTGCAGGGAAATTATACCTGGGGAATTGGGGCATGTGTTTAGTAAGAATATCAGGAGGACCTTGTTTCAGGAATTGTTTTTTCTATGTTCACTGATTTTCTATGTTCACTGATTTTCTATGTTCACTGATTTTAGGAGGCATGGCTGTGGAGTATGGACTATTAAAATGCAACAGTGATTCTGAGATTGGGTAATTTACCAGTTTTTGTCCAGGAGGCCAGGATATGGAGCAAAGCTTTAGCTGTCATTGGTAACACAGGAACGCTCCCTCCTGTTAACCAGGAAAGGGGGCTGTTGTTCATTTCTGCAGTTGTACAGTGAAGTTGCCGGTGTTGAGACATGATTTGTGAATGGCTGTGCAGCTTGTGTACTGTACAGAGGAACCTGGCTGATGAGAGAGGAGAGGGTAAAATCCAACCTGTGCTCCACTCACTAAGTACTGTATGTCCTGGCACTTGATTTCTTTTTTGCATTTTTTCCTGTATCACACACAGTCATAGCAACCTCTGATGTTGGTCTTCTGTGAAACTGTTTATGTTAGGTGGGGACTGCCATGGGCAGCTGCCAGCCACCATCTTGCTCTGTTTCTTGTTCTTTCTTGCACATGTGTGTGTACACACACATACTTACATATGACTGTGTGATTTTTTTTTTTAGCTGTTAACACATACTCTCTCTTGGAGTCAGAAGCAGATGATAAAGCTGTGATTTCCTTCTATTTGTCCTTTAAGACCTAGCTTCTGGGTAATTGGTCAGTGGGTGTTCAGTATACTGTTCTCTTTGTGTATGGTTTTTAAGTTTTCAGAAAATGAAAAAGCTCACTTAGGCATGACTTCCTTTGGGAAGGCTTCTGATCCTCCTAGTCTGCTGGGTTAAAGACTCCTCCTCCCTGCTTCTAGAGAATTCTGTGAATGACTCTCTTATAGTTCCTTGCAATTCAACGTGGACCACAGCACGGGTATCAGTTGGGAAGCTGACAGAAATTCAGACTCTCCCCTGAGTCATCTGCATTGACAGGACCTCCAGGGATTCGTGTGTTCAGTGAGGTTTGAGAAACTCTGCTCTAGAGTTATCCCTGCTACATTATAGTCACCTGTAACCCTTGTGATTACTCTTACTGAGCACAGGACCCAGGTCATTGTCCCCCTACACCAAGCCTAGCTTCTGGTGTCTGGAATGAGGCCTGGACATGGGTGGTGAGTGTTGGGCCCCTTCCCACCCTGTTCCTCTGAGTCCCTCTTCTTTCCTGGTCCAGATCAAGGTGAACATCCTGGGAGAGGTGGTAGAGAAGGGCAGCAGCTGCTTTCCGGTGGACACCACGGGCTTCTGTCTGCACTCAGCCATCTATGCAGCCAGGCCAGACGTGCGGTGCGTCATCCATCTGCACACACCAGCCACGGCAGCGGTGAGTGTGTGCCCTCCTGGCCAGACCCAGGGGACCCATTTCTCTAAGATTCTCCCCAGAAGCAGTCTTATTGAAAATGGTCTAGAAAGTTCTGGAACTCAGACTAAGGTGAGGAGAGAAAATTCCCAATGCAGGAACCCCTTATCTTCTTTCTAACTACCACAGTCTTGATATAAGGTAAGATGTAGAACATCTGTTTCACTGCATCCTCCGACCTGCTACACACACAGGCTGGCACACCCACCCAAGGGACTGTGCCTTCTGAGTGTCTACTTAAGTCAAGGATTTTGGGGTGCAGACTGCACCTGCCTAGACACAGCCCAGGTTCTGGGCGGAGAAATACTTTTTTCTGTTTTTGAGACAGGGTTTTTCTACGTAGTTTAGGATGGCCTTGAACTTGCTATGTAGGCCAGGCTGGTTTCAAACCTGTGGCGATCTTTCTGCCTCCCGAATGCTGGGATTACAGGTGTGCATCACCATACCCAGCCTGGGAGGAGAAATATTGACAGAGGTTATCAAGTAGGCAGAAAACTGTGCTGCCTCGACTTTCTATACCTTACAGTCTCTGAGAGCTGGAACAGAGCATGTAAAACCAAGGGAAGGTGGAAGGAAAATGCTCAAGGATTAGGTTGTCCTGCAGGAGTCTCTAGTTATCTCTCCATGTGCACCTAAGTACTGTGCAGTAGATAGTAGACCAGAAGTTCAGGCATTGCCCAACCCTCACCCCATCCTACTGGCCCCCAAACCACATACCGACTGGGGCAGACAGATTTCTGACGAGGGTGTTTTCTCAGTGACACAAACCAGTTGTGAATGCTCAGAGCTTCCAGAATTTGAACTGACTTGATGGTGTATCGGTGCTGAGCAGGGATCTCTGTAGGATCATGGGCAGAACGAGGGAAGGAGGGCAAGGTCCCTGCTAAGCCTTCCCATGCTCTGTGCTTTCATAAGAGGTCAGGGTGTGGGTTACAACCTTATTTCCTGGCCAGTATACTGCCCCAGGACCTTAAGTTGGGGTTTCCCAGTGGTCTTTTCTATTAAAGCAAGGAGACATGGTATTTCTACACTAAAACCAAGGCTGAGGGGCTCCAGTGACCCCTCCCAGGGGACCTTGCCCCTGCTCACCCCAGCCTGGTACAAACTGCACCACACCTGCCTCTTGCCAGCATCACAAGGCAAGAGTAAAGCAGCAGCAGGGCCACAGCGGCTTCCTTCAGTACATTCTTCTCAGCCATTCTAACTGCTGGCATCCTGGTATGAAAACTGATAGAAAGACATTATAGCCCTCTGCATGAAAGCAGCCCCAAGCAGGTGGAGAAGGAGGCCAAGGCCTTTCTCGTCTTCTTCCAACTCCATGGACCTCTGAGTGGAGCTGGCCTTGCTGCTACCAGGAAGACCAGATATGCTGGGAGGATGGAGGCTGTAGGTACCACCCACTGCACTGTCTCTCTACAGGTGTCAGCCATGAAGTGGGGCCTCCTGCCTGTCTCCCACAATGCCCTGCTGGTGGGGGACATGGCCTATTACGACTTCAATGGGGAAATGGAGCAGGAAGCCGATCGTGTCAACCTGCAGAAGTGCCTTGGACCCACCTGCAAGGTTTGCTTGGCCCTTCTGGGAGGATGCTCTGGAGTGGCTGTCAGAAGCTGGTGTCACAGAAGTGACATGTGTTCCTTGGAGAATGTTTAGATGTTGCAGATAGTTTTTTTAAAAAGAAAGAAAAGGAAAAATCTCTCTGTCACTGCTCTGAGATTTTGGTACACACCCCTAGTAAGTTCACATATGTTTATATAACTGGAATCATAAAATAAGCTCTTCCTTTCCCTTAGCAATATATAGTAGACACATTTGTATGTTATTATTTTTTTCTGTCATTATTTTAAATTATTAAATTATGTCTCATTATGTGAATGGCAGTGCCGCCGTTTTCCTGAAGAGACCTCTACGTTCAGACGTAGCAGGTCCCCTGCCTTCTGAATTTTCTGTTAGTATAAACAACATTCATAAAAATCCTTTGAACCAAGTCTGTGCGTGCTTGAGGTGATTTCCTTAGAAGAAATTCCTTTGTGCCCCCCCACAAAGATTGTTTCCCTTTTCCCAATATAGAGAATACTATTCTCCTGCAGTCTCCCTAGACTTGAGTTTTATCACATTTGTTTATTCATTTATTTATTGCCAACTTGCTGGAGAAAAATAGGACTTTCTTATTGCTTGGCATAAGTCCAAGCCTTGTAACAGCATGTACGTGGGGATAGTCACGTTGGTATGGGAGGGTTTCAAAATGGAGCCTGGGTTGGTTGTTTGCTGCCATCCTGGCAAGGCACTCACTGCCCAGCTCACTTTCTGTTGTGTCCCCATCTCCCCAGCTCTAACTTGAGTGAGAAGCCCCATCAATCTCCCAACACCCTCCAAAGTGTCATTAGCAATGCCAGCAGAGGGGTGTGGTGTCCAAATCTATGAAGTACTATAAGAGGGGGTATTTGTTGTTTCCAATGTTGTCTGTGGGTCAGAGTCATTGTCTGTTTCCATTTCTCTGGTCCTTGAAAGGAATAACCTTCAGCTCTTTTGTAATAAGAGAGATGTGGTGTTGACAGCCATGAGGCCTCAGCCTACGTAGGCTCTGTAAGGATGCGTCTGACACATGAATCTGTGTTTTAGATCCCATATTGGGCATTGTCTGGTTCCAGAGAGTTCTGGAGGCTAAAACCAACCAAGGGAAGTTTCCAGGAAGGGATGTTTAGCCTTTGGGGAGTTGTGCTATTGGTATGAATTTGTTTCTGGTTTCCTTCCCCACCTGGCCCTGGCAAGGTCAGAAACATTGCACCATTAGTGAGAAGCCCTAAGTTCTAGTTCAGATTTTGCCTCTAATTAGTCAGGGCAGGCCTCTAGTTAGAGTTCTACTTCCTGATCTATAAGATCAGTTCAATTAGAAGGCCTTTCCTAGAACTGTGTGATCTTGAACCTGGCAGGGCCTCACTAAGTTTATGAAGGAAAATTGGAGGTCAACAGAGGTGATGTGACTCACCTGTTTCTGGAAAACCATCTCTCATAGAACCGCCCTCTTGAGTTTTGACTCCCAAATTAGTAAAGTCAGGGGCAAAAGCTTGTTTTTAAGGTTTGACTTTTGCATTAGGCATCAAATAATTTCATTCACACCAATTTTTCACAATTAGAAGTTCTCCCAGGCCTAAAAACTCAGGCATTGCCAGAAGCAATCAGTCAGGCTAGATGGTCTCAGTTTAAAAAAAAAAAAAAACAAAAAACCTCTTCAGTTTCTTAGGGTGGATGCCTTAGTTAAAATCACATGTCAAACACATTGGGATGTTTGTTAGGAATAAGGAATAAGAACTTGGTGGAGGAGCTGTAGGATTGGATATGGAAATCATCTAAATAAAATGCAAAATCTCTCTCTCTTAAGTACTTTTCACAGGCTTGGGGTTTAATTGGCTATTTCCTCCTCCACAGATCCTGGTGCTAAGAAACCATGGAGTGGTTGCTCTAGGTGACACCGTAGAGGAGGCATTTTACAAGGTCTTCCACCTGCAGGCCGCATGTGAGGTTCAGGTGAGCAAGTCCTTTGGGAACTGGGCCTGGGAGTTGGCTCTGATGAAGTCTGGGTAACAGTGGTGGCCCTACTGATTGTGAGTCAGGGACACCTTTGAGCCTGATCTTCTAGAGTTCCTGCCCTATTTCCCTGCTTTGGCATCACCTTACACTTCAGAAATGTCACACTTAAAGTCAGTTCCATGGCTCAGAAAAATTTATCACCATTTTCTGAGGACCCCCACCCAGCTCTGGGAGCTCAGAGCCCAGACAGAGTTACTTGGGCTCATCAGTTAGGTGGGGAGAAACTGCCATAGGACACATGAAGTCCTTACCAGGCTCACATATTACCTGGGTATGCCTGCTACACCTGGCTGTGTCCAGTGGAGACACAGGTAGGCTTCATTTATTTCTTTGTAACAGATTGGAATGAGTGGGGGGAGGGGTTTTACAAAAGTCAATGCCATAGTCAAATCTGGAAAGAGAAGTGTGGGGCTGGCCATTTGGAGTGGTGACCTGGCAACCCGAACAGGTAGGCATCCTAAAGCGATGTCCAGGGAGCTCACCAGGTAGTCTGCTCACTGGATCAGCCACACACACACTCAGTGTGGACAGGTGGTCACAGTGAGAAGGGACCTTGGTTAGCCCTGGAGGACTTGTTCCCAGGCTGACTGGGCTCCATCATCACCAGCTCCAGCTGTGTGTCCTTGGGTAGGGCATTTGCTCTTTGAGATCCAGTTTTTCTCAACTGTAGACATGGGGGCCAGAGGACTGGTGGGGCCAGAGGACTGGTATGACCAGGCTTTTCAGAGAGAAGAGTGATAGGTAGTATTTTTAGGACTCAGTTCACAGCAGGAGAGATCTATCGCTGCAGGATGTCTCAGCCCTTTGCTGGGCTCTTTTGTTGGGTGTCTCTGAGCCTTCTGAGGAAAGAGTGGTAGAGGCTAGTACCTTGCTGGAAGAGGCTCCCATGGGTCCCCTTCCAACAGTTTTTAGAGGACTGTGTTGCCAAGACAGTTGTGAAGCCCATAGAGGTGTTGGAGGGAGTGAGGTAAGACCAACCTCCAACCCCTAGCAGCAGTGGGCAGAAGTGGAGACCATAGGCAGGCGGGCACAGGGCACAGGTGGTGCCTCTCTGATGTGGTACCCCCCAGCCAAGGAAACTGTCCCAAGCTCTGACCACTGACTGGTTGGCAGAACCCCCCAGAGCCTCTGCAACAAAGAGAAGCCACCTTCCCTTCCTAACCCGCACTGCTCTCCATCTGCCTCTGGAGAAGTGGCTTTCCTGAGCAACTAGCTCACAGAGAAACCTCATCTCATTTCAAAGACAGCCCAGCCCTAAAAATGGATGGCGAGAGAGACCTGTGTGCCTCCCACTCCCAGACTCTTGACCCCAGCAGTGGACATTGGGTAATTTAATCAAAACCAGAGTGGCCATCTGCAATCGAAGGGCAGAGCTGCTGGCTGCTGTCCCTGACAACCCCCCGGCTGCTGTCACTTACTTTTTAGGATGGGTTTGATGTGACCTTGTTAATGTACCTCGGGCAGTGCAGTCATCTAGCCCACAGGAAAGCCCCAATGTATTTTTTGTCAGCTGGTGGGTAGAGAGACTTCTGGAGGCAGGAACAGAGCGAGAAGATGCTTTAGAAGATTAGACCAGAGGGTGGTGGATCAGGACATGAATAGCACACATAGCAGCAAGCTGCAGGTGTCGTTGGGTCACACCTGGGTCATTTTGGGCGGAATGACCATCACTGAAGCCCTGTTTCCACTGTGGGCCTCGTTTTCTCCCTCAGTGACATTGGCAAACAAGCAGACGTGGCTGTGGTCATGTCTGTGGTTCAAGGCTGAGTGCCTGTTCAGTTCTCCTGGGGCCCGTGCTTTCTTTGCTCTCCATCAATTTGGGGTTCCAGGAAACTGGGTCATTCCTAGCTGAGAAAGGCAGCTCCCTGCTCTGCTCACAGGCAGATGGAAAGATGCACAGGCAATTCTTTTCCATCTGCTACCCATCACCATGGAAACCAGTGGAGGAAGAGGGTGCTGGGAGGAGGCAGCTCTTACAAGATTATGAACAATTGCCTCCCTTCTCCTTCTCCATTAATGACCAGTCTCGGGGGAGCTGCATCTCATTCATTTACTAGCAACATTCGTGGGGCACTCCTTAGGCACCAGGGGCTCTTCTAAGTGCTTTACAACCATTATCTTGAAGACTCCTCACAAGGTAGATACTACTATTTTCATTTTACAAATGAGGAAACGGGAGGCACACAGATGGTAAATAACTGTCCCAAATTACACAGGAAGTAGCAAAACCAGGTAGAAATCCAGGTAGATTGGCACCCAAGTTCATGCCTTCATACGCTGCCTTGCACTGTCTCTCCAGAGCAGGATCAGTGGGAATAGTCATGTGGACAGGTGTCTTAGGTGAGAAGGGTGTGGAAAACCTTCTTGCTTCTGCCTCTTCTCAGGGTGATAGGGTTCTCCTGGGGAGGTTGCCTGGCTGACCTCCAAGAAGCAGCACAGGGATGTCTATTAAGCATGGTAAATATGGCACACTATGGACTGTCTAGATCTTCATGAGTTCATAGGCCTGTGTTTGTCAGCAGGCTAAATGGATCTTTAGTCTTCAGTAAGAAATAACTAACACAAAAGCACCAAATAATTGCAAGTGTATATAATTAGAGCAGCTCCCCTGGAATAGCAAGCTTACATGAGAGATCCAGTCTTACTCAGGTGGGCGAATGGGTTAGTGCAGACCACCTAGCTCACTCTAGTGAGACTATCCAAGAGCCGCTCTCTCTCTCTCTGTAGCCGAATTTATCCGGAAAGCTAAATCCTAACTCATTATATATGAGTGCTGCATATTTAGAGTCAAAAGAATGTATTCTTAGGCAAGCATGCAATTGGAAAATAAAATTAGTTAAATGAATGATTTTTAAGAATTATTCTAAAATTCCCTGCTGCATGTATATCTGTCGTGTCCTATTATTCCAAATTCACTGCCTGTGGCCATCTCCATCCTCCTATAGGGCTTTGGCCATGGAACAGACACTCCATGTTCCTGGGTGAAAGCTGTCTAACCCTATACAGTGCCTAGCTGTGTATTGTCAACATTTTCTCTGTCTCCTTTTTCTGGGCTTTTTTGTCTGGGCAATACTACCACAGAGAGTGGGGTGTGGTTTTGTTTTAGACCTGTAAACCCTTCCCATCAGGTTATACTCAAATTTCATTGGCCTAGAAACCACCCTATTTATTTTAAGAAACTTAAAAAGATTTCAAACATACAGAAAAATATAGAGAGGAACATAATAGACAGCCACTACATAGATTTAACGTATATTAATACCCTTTTTCTTCAAATATTTTTCCTCCCCAAGAAATGTTATACACAAGAACTGAAGTCTTCTTTGGAGCCTTTTCTAATTTCATCCTCCCTCACTCTCTTCCCAGAAACAATCACAAATCTATATTGGTCTCTATCCTAAGTAGCTTTTCAGTCCTCTGTATCCTTTTATTCTTAGGGTTTAACACTTACTATTTCTTTCTTTTCTCTGTTCTCTAAGAGCTGAGATTAGGAAAGGAAAGACTAATACCTTACTCCTGGAAATGGGTGCATGCCCAACAAGTTTTGGGTGGCTTTTCCTCAGTTTCCTATCAGGTTAATAATATCCCTTAGTTATTGCGGGCTGATCATGTCCACAATCTCCTAAATGAGTGTATGGGGAAGGCTAAATAAAAAGAGATGAAAGAAATTATTTTAGAGCTCCAGGAGGATCAAAGTCCTCTCACAGAATTCGAAATTCTCTCAGGGCTAAGACCAAGACCTTCTCTGGTTGGCCTGTATTTATTTAGTTATCAGAAGAAGGGAGGGGAGTGCTCAAGAAGGGCAGAACCACTCAAGGACTTCTCCAAGTAAGTTATTAAGTTAATCCACCCAGGAGTGATATGCCTGAGGCTACAGCCTTCATCTAGTTCAGGTTGGATCCACGTGTCCTTGGCTGTAATCTTGCCTTATCTTTTGAGGCTTTCCAGCTTCATCCATCATTACAGGCCTCAGTAGAGATCAGTGCCTCACAGAGGTTCACTTACTATGAGTCCACCACCCATCTCCAGACAAGGAACTTAGGCCTTGGACAGGCTCACAGGTAAACATGAAAAGCCAGCTGGTTAATTTAAGTCCTGCTCAGGGCTGCTTCATAGTAATCTCATCAGTTTACCACTTGTTTCTGGCTTCTAAGTTCTCATTTGTAGCTCCTGTGGTCCCACTTCAAGCAGGGGCACAGGTGAAGGTGGGGTCCTGTGTACATATGGGCTGTGGCTCTCCTTGTTGCAGGTGTCAGCTCTATCCAGTGCTGGGGGAGTAGAGAACCTCATTCTCCTGGAGCAGGAGAAGCACCGGCCCCATGAGGTGGGCTCTGTGCAGTGGGCCGGGAGCACCTTTGGACCCATGCAGAAGAGCCGGCTAGGCGAGCACGAGTTTGAGGCCCTCATGAGGATGCTGGACAACCTGGTAAGTCCCCTGCCATCGCCTTTCCAGGCCAATCCAGGAAGACTTAGCCTCTGGAATGCAGACAGTAGAAGGTATTAGGTGGGCAGAAAACCTGCCAACACTTTGATTCAGTTGTTGAAGACCTCATTGATGGGGAGTTTGATTTAGAACTTGCATTCATTCTAGTTGCTGTGGATGTCATCTTTGCAGAGTGCTCTGTGAGAAGTAGTGATCCAGTACTTCCATGACATGTAGAGATTTTTATACCCATAGTCTCTCTTATATTGGGGCTTAATTCATGCCTCTTATGTAGTTAGCCCTGTCTTTCTTTCTAATCTCTTGATTTTTGTGTAGAAAGTATATAATATTACTAGTTTCCTTATTCATGGGCAGCAGCTTCATGATAACACCCTATTGCAATAAATAAACAATCATGTAAGAAATTGAACTGGCATGTGCCTAGATGTAGGCTGGTTCATTAAATAATACCAAAGTTTTTTTAGATATTCTTTTTCCTTCTAGAGGCTAAGTAGTTAACAGTGTGAGATGTTAGAGGAGACAGTTCAAGAACAAAAGGGAAGCATATACAATGAGGAGCTAATTGTAGCAGGAGATTATGTCTTAGATTGCTCAGAAAAATGAAATGAAATCTAGCTTCATAGCATTTCCATCTGGTTCATTTTTCTAATCCTTACTGCTGGTACCCTCTACCCCCTTTATCATGTAAAGGTCATGGCAATAATTAATACTTTTCTCCCTGCTTTCATTTCCTCTAAGTTATCTTCATCTCATTACCAGGTAGATCAGGAGGTTCACTTTATAATAATGAAAGGTACAATCCACAATGACAATGCAACTCCTGTGTACTGTTTAGGTGCTGGCACCTAAGTGAATTCTCATGCCTATCTGATTTCATATAGGAATTCTTTCAAACCTTTAAGAAACAAACAATTATGATGCTCTTTATATTCTTTCAGAGAAGATCAAAGAGAGGATATTAAGCTTTAAGAATTATAGCACATTCAGACTAATCACACTTTGTGTGTTAATGAAAGAAATGCTGTCTGAGCCAAATATGGTGGCACATGTCTGTAATCCCAGCACTGTAGGAGGTTGAGGTGAGAGGATAACAAGTTCAAGCCCAATCTGGCAACTTAGTGAGACCCTATCTCAAAATAAAAAATAAAACAAAGGCTGAGAATATAGCTGAATGCAAAGAGCCTGAGTTCAATCTCTACTACTGAAAAACATGCTTCTTAAAAACTAGCAAGTAATATTGAGCACAACATCAGACTAACACTACACAGTAACTGAGGGTTCATCCCTAGAATGCAAGGATGGTTTAATATTATAAACTTTTTAAGATTCAAAGGATAAAAACTTTATGATCATGTTAATAAGTAATCAAAGAATTTGACAAAAATTTAACATCAATTTATAAAAATAACAGCTATCAACTGGAACAGCACACTTACTTTATATGATTAAAATGACTTTTCCCAAAACAATAGCCAATATAATAATGAAACAGTGAAAGTATTTCCCTCAAACTTTGAGACAAAATAATTATTTCTGTTCTTAAGACTATTAATTAATAGCACTCTGGATTAATATTGGAACTCAATCTAGGCAGTGGGACATACGAAAGAGGTATAAATATTATAAATGAAACAAGATTATTATTATATGCCTAATAAGTCCAAAATCAACTGAAAAATGAGAAGCAATGAAGATATTTTAAGATGGTCAATTATGAAAACATGTATAAAAATAGTATACTAAAATGCATACAAAATATTTACAAAAATCAGTCTTTGTATCTTAGCATTAATTGCTTGGAAAATATAACGGGGTTTGGGAGGTATAGCTTAGTGGCACAGCACCTGTCCAGCATGTGTGATATGTGAGGCCCTGGGTTTGACCCCAAGAACTGCAAATAATAGTAATGATAATGAAAGAAATTAAGCCTATGTGCAAGTGAAGCAAAGTCATAAACATGAGGCAGACTTCACTTAAAGAAAACTGTGAAACTTTACCCAGAGACATCGGAGAAAACTGAAAATCAGTGAAGAGTTGTAATTTATCCTTGGTTAGAAAACCCCAACAAGGTAAAGAAGTCATGGTCCCCAAAATCAGTCTACAAACTGAGTGTAATTCTCTCAAAAATGAGGGAAGGTACAAAGATTTAAAAAAATGTACTTCCAACATGAAATTAGAAGTGGCTAGAAAAATGCTACAGAAAGAAGCTAAGTAGGGATTACTATTTTCACCCCATTCTGAAGTGTGATAAAGTGTTAGTAATAGAATGGGCAAGCAAATCCATACAACAGCTTAGAGAATTGAGAAACAGACACAAAATATATGAGAAGTTACACAGGTTAAGAAGGCACTTTATAAATCAGTAATGAAAAGATAGATCTCTAGCCATTTGGGAAAGAAAAAGGCAAATTGCTACTTCATTCCTTCCAACAACATAAAAGCCTGAGTTTTCCAAAATTTTTACATGAAAAATGAGAGATATTAAAAAACATCGATTTATATTTGCAGTGCACTTTTCCTGGAAAAGACCTTGTTAAGCATGGTGAGACAGTTAGAAATCATGATGATAAATATTGACAAATGCAACTACATTAAAAATTCAAGTTCGGTCTGGTGGTGCATGCCTGTAATCCCAGTGACTTGGGAGGCTGCAGCAGGGGTATTACAAGTTCAAGGGCAGCCTGGGCAATTTAATGAGAACCTGCCTCACAATAAAAATAAAAATAAAAAGGGTTAGGGATGTAGCTCAATACAAAAGGTCCCAAGTTGAACTGCCAGTAACATACACACACACACATTTGCATTTCTGTAAACCATTCCTCCACTATAAACAATGCTAAAAGACAAATTATAAGGTAAATATTTGCAACATTAACCAACAGCTGAAGATTAACAGTCTCACTGCGAAAAGAGACTAGATATCAATGTGAAAAAGTTAAACATCTCAATAGAAAAATGTATACATACCTACACAGAGATGACTGGAAAGTTTTCAGAATTGTGTCTGGGGGTGAGTTTTGCATAAAGTTCACACTTTTTCCTTATGTTTTCCTATATTGTTTAATTTTTATACATGGAACTGTATTTTCTTTATAATCAGCATAATACCTTACTGCCATTTTAATTTAAAAAGAAGACAGGAAGAATTGAGTATTGTTCTGGCAGATGCTTCCTGGGTGTTCGTTCTCGCACTGAACAGCTGTCAGCTCTGCCTTTGTGTGTGTACATGGTCTTCCTTAGGAGACCAGGAAGTTCTTGAGTCAGCTTTCAGGGTTCCAGGAGGGAAATAGGGATGCTTTTAACAGTCCTACAATGCAGGCCATGCCATGTCCAATTAAGCCATTATCCTGTTAAGCCAGCAACTCTGATGTAATGGCCAGATAGACATCACTATTTTGAAAGCTCCTCTGGAGATTGCAGTGGGAAGCCAGGGTTGAGAACCACTGGACCAGATGCAATTTGGGTCTCTGTGCAGATAAGGAGCTTGTCTGTGTTCACAAGGTTCTGAACACAGGGATTCTCTCCGTCCTGATCAGTGGGCATGTTGGAGACCAGTAGGAGGGGACAGTTCTGAAGTATACCAAAAGGGCAGCAAGGCAGATTGTCCAATGGAGATTTAAAGTGAGTACTTTAAAGGGGGCAAAGTGTATGTTTGTGAGTGTGTGCATCTACAGACCTTTTTCTTCCACTATTAATGGTTCTATTTTTGTCCATCTTAGGGATACAGAACAGGCTACACATACCGCCACCCCTTTGTCCAGGAGAAAACCAAACACAAAAGTGAGGTAGAGATCCCAGCCACAGTCACGGCCTTTGTGTTTGAGGAGGATGGTGCCCCAGTGCCCGCCTTGCGACAGCACGCCCAGAAGCAGCAAAAGGAGAAGACCCGTTGGCTGAACACGCCCAATACCTACCTGAGGGTCAACGTGGCAGACGAGGTCCAGAGGAGCATGGGTAGCCCTCGGCCCAAGACCACGGTAAGAGGGAAGCCAGGGCAGCCCTGGGAGGAAAGGAAAGGCTGCGTTTGTGGGCATAGCAGCTTTACAAGGGGAACAGAGCTAATCTTCCTTGCGTACAGTTTTGTGCAGTTTCTTCTTAGGGCTCCCTTCTAGGCCCTTGGGAGCAGCTGCTCAGGTCCTCTTTCTTGCACCTCTGCTCAGAGTTGTTAGGTCTGGGGGAAGTTTCTCCAGAGGGCAGGCAGATGAGCCACTCCCAGCAGCACAAGACCCAAGAGCAGTTGGTTTTTGCATCTTCCTCCCATGTCTTGAGGGGGCTTCTGGGAAATTCCAGGGATGGGCATCCAACATTTGGACTCTAGATCTGATGAAACCCAGGAGATGGGAGGTAGTGTCACTTGTATTAAGTTATCTTTCTCTCTCTCTCTCTTGCTCTCTCATATGTGCATAGACTCTCAATTTGATTTTTCATTAACATAAAAGTAACTGCTGCAGTAGAATAGCTCTACATGAAATACTATGAAACTCTCAAAACTTAAATCAAGTTGCGTGATACTGAAACTTCAGTGGTTACCTCTCCAAACCGCTTACCAAAGATCTGACCCCTGTTCTGCTCTGCTATGTTCTTTATGGTTTGAGAGCCTTCATTGGCTGTTATCTCTTACCCACCTCTACCCTGGGAGACTAACAAAGCCCAAGAAGAGAGAATATCTATGAATAGCCTGGTTGACCTTCCGTGTAGGCTGGTGGGCCCAGATCTCGATGGGTGGACCCCTCAAGAGGACTGTGGCTTTATTCCTTTGCCTCACTCACTGGCCTTGTATTTATAGTGGATGAAGGCTGATGAGGTAGAGAAATCCAGCAGTGGCATGCCGATCCGGATTGAAAACCCAAACCAATTTGTGCCTCTCTACACTGACCCTCAAGAAGTGCTGGAAATGAGGAACAAGGTAAGGTGGTGGCTGCCTGTCTCTCTCTTCTTTACAAGGAGCTCTCAAGTCCTGCAGATGTGGGCTGAGTCTCCAACAGTCACGGGAGAAAGACACTACTCTTTATGCACCACATTCTTCTCAGGCACTGTGCTACGGGCTGTAGCTATGCTGTCCTAGATAACAGTATGTATGTCTAAAGTACCACCCATTAAATGAGTTGTTATAAATTTTCTATAATTTTCCCTTTGGCTTCTTTTCAAGATTTCAAAACATTTTGCCTGTATCTCTGGACTTATGCCTGACAGTTCACTCACTCATACCCTAATATTACCTTAAAATTGGAGTTGTAACAGATCACCCCCTGTAGGCTGAAGCTCCCAGAACAGTACTCAGTGTCCCTTTCAGATTCTGGGGTTACCACCTCCAGCCTCCTCTCGGGATTTAGACGTGAGAGGTGCGGGTGATCCCAGTAATGTATATTTAAAGCAAATTTCTCAGGGCCTTCTTGGGAATAATAAAATATGAGACCCTCCCTCAAGGATCTCATGGGCCTCTTCCGTCTTACGGCTCCTCAGGGTAAGTGGAAATCTGGTGTTTCGAATGAACAAAGCAGTTACTCTGGACCAGGCATGGGGACCATCTCTAGGAGCAGACAGGTTGTGTTAGAATAGTAAAGGGCCACTGGAGGACCGTTCTCCACCCAGTCATAGGACACAGTGAACTTCAGCGTGCCCTCTGGAAAACTCTCCACACTGAGGCCAAACCCGCCCTTCCCCCTTTCCACACAGATTCGAGAACAAAACCGACAAGATGTGAAGTCAGCAGGACCTCAGTCCCAGCTCCTGGCAAGCGTCATCGCTGAGAAGAGCCGAAGTCCGGTACAGCAGAGGCCGCCCCCTGCTGGATGGGAAGCGTGTTTGCCGTCTGGGTCTTCTCAGCAGGACCCCTGACTCCAAGCCCACCCTCCCCTGTGACCTTGGGCATTGGTGCTTTTGCTGCAAAATGGAGGTCCACCTCACAGGGAAGCTGTGAGGTTCTGGGAGGACAGTGTCTAATTGTTCCCTGTGGGCACCAGGCAGGGGGCTGCAGCCCAGCCTGCCTACAGGATTGCTGCTGGCCAGCTCCCTTTTACCATGGACTCTACTTGGCCCCTGTTAGTACCCTGCAGAGACCAGGTGGCTCCCAGGTGCCCGGGCCTGGTGTTTCTGGCCCCCAGTGTCTCTGACCTCTGTGTGTGACTATAGCGTCATCAGCCAGAGCTCTGAAAAGATGCTCCTGACCCATAGAGAAGGGCATGTAGAGAGGACTGGGTTTCCTACATACCGGGAAGGGCACTTAGCTGCCCACACAAACCCACTTAGAGTTAGATAGCAGAAAGCCACTGTTTTTGTGTGTGAGATAGATGGTGTCTTGTCTAGTGCTTAGCAATAATAGTGAAGTTCAGAATCCTGGCCGTGTTAAAATCATCGCTGCTTGTGGCAAGGTAGCAATGAACATGTGTGACATTTTCTTTAGCAGTAAAAAGTGAAGAAGTATGGAAAATGTCGCTCTCCACAGAGCATACCAAGATGATATGACAGTTTTAGATCAGGCTGCAGCCCATAAGGTAGGGGTCTGCTGGCAGGAGAAGGGTGAATATCATATCCACACACCTACCTCCCACCCACCCAACTCAGCCCACTGATGTGCCAAAGAGTCAAGGGTAGAAATATCCCATGATTCTAAGGGAGGTCAAAGGTCAGTACAGTGAGCAAAACTGTCAAAAACCAAGTCTGCCATTTATACCTGGTGCTCTCCTTGGAATCCTTCTTGGATCTTAATCTTGGATTCTTCTCGACTCCGTAGTTCCTCATAGCAGGCTGGCTGCTGCCTCCTTTTTGAAAAGAGGTGGTGGGCCTATCCTCAGAAGACCTGGCCACTCAGGGTTTCCCTTCTCTTGGCTTCACTTTCCTTTGCTTCCCCTCAGCTTTTCACTGCATTTTCAAAGGTCACAATAAGGATGCTCAACTAAGAAAAGGGGTAGTGGAGTTTGAATTTTAGTGTCTGTTTTGGCCTAGAGGTGCCAAAGTGTTCCTGAAGCTTACACAAAATCCAACTGGTCAGTGCCCCAGGGCCAAGGGCCCCACAGAGGTGGTGCAATGGAGTGATTTTGCCAATGTCCCCATAGGGACCTGCATTGCAGGCAGGCTGAAGATCTGAGACTCAGGACCTTGGCCCCTTTGTAATTTATGGCGGAGTGCAAAACAGGACTAACTGCTTGGACTGAGAATGCCGAAGCTGCTGTGTTTTGCAGATGACTTAATGCCGTGTGTTGTGGCTTGCACTGCTGCTGGGGACCGGGCGGGGGGCAGTGGTGGGGAGGGGCTGGCTTGAAGCTTGCTCAAGCCAAAGCTATGCTTGCTGGGCTTTGGCTGACTGAGTTGGGCCACTAACTGTATTTGCATTAGTACCAGCTTGGAGTATCCATAGAGGGATCGCAATAAATGTGTGTCTTCCTTCTGCTTGGGAGCATCCTTTGATTTTATTTCAGGGGTAAAGGGTAGATCCCTGTATACATCTAAACAGTTGCAAAATCTGAGTGTGGGCATGAGGTAGCAATGGGGAGGGATGAGCAAGCCCCACCCCAAGGGCCTGAGCTGGTTCCAAGGAGCTGCATGCCACACTATCCCTAGCAAGACTGCTGGCAGCCACCTGAGTCTGAAAGGAATCTCAGGCCCAGGCCCCATCTGCGACACACATTCTGTGGTTAACTTTCAGTCTACAGAGAGCCAGCTGATGTCCAAGGGTGATGCGGATACCAAAGATGATTCAGAGGAGACGGTACCCAACCCCTTCAGCCAACTCACTGACCAGGAGCTGGAGGAGTACAAGAAAGAGGTGGAGAGGAAGAAACTAGAACTGGATGGTAAATAACCCAGGGGCATCATGGCTTCAGAGTTTCCCAGGGTTGAGGGCAAGTACAGGACTCCCCAGCGAGGACCTTCCTGCCCCATCATCAAATAATGTCCCTATTAGCAGAACACCGTTGATCACAATATTGCCCCCTGTTGCTCTCTGCCTAACAGTTCACAATGCCTTCATGACATCATTTGACCCTCTCATCTAAGTATGAAAGATTTAATATTTGTAAAGTGCTTACAATAATGCCTGTAAGTATGGCTATAACAGAGAAATGTTAGCTATAGTAAGAAAGGTATAATCATAATTATTACTAATGACCTCTCAGGTCCAATGTAAACCTTTTACCCTGGAGTCAGAGCTTTGTCCACTAGCTGACACCTTTATATCCCTTTTTCCTTTATGTCAGAGACTCCCAGTCCAGCCCATCCCCATGTTGATTCCCAAATGTTCATACTGACTATTGTCACTTCTATTCCCTGGTTGATGCATTTGTCCCTTCCTAGGACTGTTTTCCACCTCAGCTAGCCTATTCCAAAATCATCAGTACTGCAGGCTCTATCTCAAATCCGCCTCCAGCTAGGAAAGTCTCTGTTACCTTTCCCAGTCCACCCCAAACAAGCCATCCCTCCTCTTTGTTCCAAGAGCAGCTGCGGTGTGAGACACATAACTCAGCTTTTGGTTGTGTCCACTAGGGTAAGCTCTCATTCAGGGCAGGGTCTTCCTCCCTCACCTCCCCACACCCAGGGTCAGCCACCTTCCTGGCTTTCACGGAGTTCTGATGTGCCATTTGGAAAAATAAAAGAGCATGGTGCTTTTTATTCCTAGGAATTGTTTGGACAAAAACTATAAATTATCTAAGTTAATAAATTAGCTACATGCAAACAAATCCTTGGCATTTAAGGGGAGTCAGTGGTTGTTTGGGGCCCCACTTTAACCCACTGATGTATGTATCTATTTTGTTTTTGGTACCGGGAATCAAACTCACAACCTCGTGCTTGCCAGGCAGGCATCGTGCCACTGAGCTATATCCCCAGCCCTTGATGTGTGTATCTGGCTGGTCCTCTTCAGAGCCAGGATGTATGTGGCCACTCTTCCTGCCATCTTTCCATTCCCATACTCCCCAGTAGATTTGTTTCCATGCAGGAAACAACATCATGTTTACTTCTCCCATTTGCCTTCCCAAGGAAGTAGCAGAAATGAGAAAAAGGCTCAGGAGGAGCAGCTAACTACAGCCAGAAGATTCATTATCAGCCAACAGAAATGAGAACCAAATAGAAAAACACACTGTTTTTCATGCTCACTTTCTTTGCCCATCTTGATGTATTTCCAGGCGAGAAGGACACTGCCACAGAAGAGCCTGGCTCCCCTGTAAAATCCGCACCTGCTTCTCCAGCACAGAGTCCAACAAAAACAGAGACGAAGAGCCCCGCAGTCTCTCCTTCCAAGTCCACCGAGGGTGAGTGGAGCTAGGCACACTGGGTGGGAGGGAGGAGCATCTGCAGGCTGGACAAGTGTGGAAGGCAGGGCAGGTACCCACCTTTCAACAGGTGTTATTTCTTCCCCTGCTGACACCACCACCACTTTCCTCTCTGCTGTTTCTAGGAAATCTGAACAGTTTTCAGTTTGTTTCACTCAGGAGCTATGACAATAGATCTTACACCTCACACCCTGCTAAGCAAAAAGTGAATCAAGGATTGAGCCTTTTGATCCCCAGCCTTCTCTCCTCCAGCCAAGACAAACCTGAGGACCTTGTTAAACTGAAGATTCTGATCCTTGAGGTGTGGGCTGGGGTCTGAGGCTCTGTGTTTCCCAGAGTGAGGCTGATGTCCTTCTCATCCTCAACTGCACATTGGAATCACCTGAGAAGCTGTAAAAATCCTGATGCCTGGATCTCACACCCAGCCTTCCTGAGTTAAGTGGAAGGACGGCAGCCTGGAGTTGTTAAGATCTCTCCAGCAGTCTAAATTGTAGACCAGGTTAAGAATAGCTTTATCAGAGACAGTAATTGCAAACTCCAAGGCCCAACTGAATTGCTAATTTTAGCATATCAAAGAACCTTTGTGCCTCCGTTTTCTTGTGTGTGAAATGGAGTTACTAATATTTTCCCCATTTAAGGTTCTTATATGTATAAGGGAGGTGCCATTGCACTTTGAAAGAGTAAAAGCACAATTTAAATGTAAGATCTAATTATGACCATGATTAAGAATATACACTTGGTGACAATGATACTATTATAGTCCCTAACTACTTAACTCATAAAAGTGTCTTTAGTGAGCTCCCCAAATCACTCCAGGACATGAACACTCCTCTTCTGGCTCCCTGAGAGTCCCTAGTAGATAGGGCAGCACGGCCATCCAGAAAGCAGCACCTTGGTGGTCTGCCGGAATCTCTTCCCTCTTGGGTAGAATGGCCACATAGGTGGATTCAGGTAGATCTGTACCCTGAGCTCCCTCCATAAGTCAAGTGCTAACTCGAGCACAGGTCTGCCATTGCCAGAGGAAACCCATCTGCTTGAGGCTGCAGCCCCAAGTGGATGTACCACAACCGTTTGTGTTCGTGTGTCTCATCGTGGTGTTGTGTTGTCAACCTGTCTCCACAATGTCTTCCTTTCTCTTCCCATTTGTGCCTTCATCGAAGGAGTTTCCTCCGATTCTGAATACTTGTCTCTGTAGTAAGTATAGAGAGGCTGTTTACTCACTCCAGCACTTGCAGTGGGGGAGGGAGGAGTTGTTCAAAGGTAATGTATTTCTCGCAGTTTTTTCTTTTGCAGCTCACAGCCCCATCTTTGGGAGGTTTCCCAGATGTAAAATTCATGACCAATTCCACCTGCAGCATGCATGGGCAAGGCTTTCTTGTGAGAGACACAGGGCACACACATGCACAAACACACAGCTGCACACGGGGCACACACATCTAGAAGCATCAACCCCTACCATGAGGGACAATGGAGTGGCTCTCAGTGCTGTCTGCAGCAGCGTGCTTATGGCCCTAAGGGGCTTACCTTCGTCCCTGTTCCTTATGCATGGCCACCTCTAACGTACCCATGACCTCTCCGAGGACTGCAGGTCAGAGTCTAGATACTCTTTGGGACCAGCTATTACATAAGGCAATGCAGAGGCCCTGATCTTAGGACATGTGTACCAAGTACAGGAAGGAAATCTGGGGCTGAAGAGGAGGCTCATGGGAGTAGAACAAAGGTGACCATCTATCATAATCTCCTTGAAGGGACAGAGAGCAGGTAGAGTATGAGATGGATAGGATGACTCTTTACCCATGACCTGCCACCATGCCTGCTGTGGCAGGAGTCTTCATTTATTCGGGTCTAAATCCATGCTCCTGGAGGGGCATACTGTGATTGCAGTGTTAGAAAAATTATGGTCTTCCCTGAAGATACTTCCTACACCACAGACTGTGCCGGGAAGTGTGGCTATCAGGGAGCAGAACCTGCATGATGAGGTCTGAGCTGCAGCTGTGTGGAGTGACCAGGGTGAGGTAGGGCTGGGTGACTTTGGCCGGCTCCCCAGGGTAGGCAGGTCTCACACACAGGGCAACATCTGCACTCTCATTTTTAGCTGACCCATCAGATCAGGGGTAGCTTTTTTCCAACCACTCATCACTTTGCTCTGAAACCCTCTTGCGCTGAGTCACCTTAGTCACTCTTCGTCTGTGTCCCTGACTCCCATCCCATCAGCCTCTCTGAAAGAGACCCTTTCAAATCTTCTTCTTTACATCTGGCCATCTGCGCCATCTTCTCTTGGACCGGCTCCTGACTAACCCCTGTCCCTGCTAACTCTATCTGCCCATGAACCCTCAGGGTTACTGGCCGAACTTACAAAGGAATAGCCCTGTATTTGACAAGAGACAATCAGCTTTGCTCCTAAATAATTTACTCACCTCAAATAAGCCACTTAACACTGCAGAATGAGGGACTAACACCACCTCTTGCTCTTGGTAACTCACAGCACTGTTGTCAAAATAAAATGAACTAAGGAATAGAAAAACACCTTGTTATGTGCTTTACATAAATTAGTTGCTGTGTACCATTTTCTCTGAATTGTGAGAACTAATACATCACTTGATGTTTTAAACCTCTAAGTTTTATGACGGTTTGTTTGTAGCACTAGATAGTTATTCAGTCATGGTGCATAATAAGAACTAGTGTTATGGAAATTAGTTCTGTGAATTGACTGGAGTTGGCTGGGTTTGACCTGGTGGTTCCTTTGCTCCATGTGGGGGAGTCAGTTGGAACTTCAGTCAGCCAGGAACTTGACTGGTTGGAGCTTCCAACATGGTGCACTCACATGTCTAGCATCTTGGCCAAGGCAGCAGAAAGTGGACTGGGCTTGGCTGGGACATGAGAATTGGTCTGGATCTCTCTCTGGTCTCAGGCATTCTCCATGTGGTCTCAGGTCCTCTCCATCTGACATTTCCACATGTTTCCATTGGTGTAGTTGGACTTTACACATGGTGCCATAGGAAGCAGAAGACACTAGACCTTAAGTCTTTTGCCTGAGACTGGCTGTGCCACACTTCTGTATTCTAGTGGTTCTAGTGAGCCGAAGGGCCAGCCTGGTTTCACTCTGTGTGGAGGGATTACACAAGCATGTGGATAACTGGAGGCATGGTTCCTAGGTGCCATATTTGCACATGGCTGCCCCACACACTGAAAATATATTTGGGTGCTTGGGAGAACTTTTATGTCCCAACTATGGTGGGTAGGTGGGAGTTACAGGGAGTAACTCTGTACACCTGATTACAGGAAGCTCTGCTTTCTTTCCCTTCTACTTTCTTTGCTGTCTCAGTCCTTGGGGAGGGAGGTAAATGTGAAGAGAGACATCTCATTCTAAATCCATATTTCCCAATGTGTGGCCAATGGGGGTTTTGTATTAGAATTATCTGAGGACTTGTTTAAAATACAAATTTCTTTGCCCAATGTTTCAAAAGTCTATTGTGAAGGTAAGACTTGGAGCCTACATTTTCCCAAGCTCCTTGGGTGATTCCTTCAGACACAAGTTTTTGAGTATTTAAATCAAGACAGAAACCCTATTGAAAAGTTCTCTGCATGGTCACTACTAGTAGCTTGATCAGCGATCAGGCAGTTCTGTTTGCTGATCTTCCTTTCTCCTGAAGATGTGCCTTATGTATTTTTTGACTGTTGCTACTGACCACTCAGTCCTATGGCAGCATAAGTCGTAGATTTTTTTTTTCCAAAGCCTTTAATGAACTTTCTTTTGTATTCTCTGTGCAATGGTATAGATTCCACTTCAGGAGGAAAGTAAAAACAGTACATGGCAGTCACCAGTTCTCCATTTGGAATATAGATCATGGTCAGTCTGGCTGACCTTGAATTCAGAAATAAGTCAGCAAATCCTGCTTCCAGGCCCACCGGCATCTCCCCTGATGCAAATACAGAGCCTCTCTAAGTTGTGGGGCTGGCACTGTGGTCATATGTTTGACCCTGAAATGTCAGCAGACCACAAGTAACAGTAGTCTCGGTCCTACAGTTGGGTGAGGTCCATAGTCCTTTCCTATGTCCTCACCCCAATGCATGGACATAGAAGAGCCAGCTGTTGAGGAGAAGCAAGGCATCCTGTGCTGAGCCTTCATCTGGTCTTGCTTGGCAAAAGGCTCAAACATGTTGTCATTGAACTTGGTGATGGCTGTCAGAAAAGTAGAAGACAGAGTTACCGTCTGAAGTGGTCTAGGTAGGTGACAAATGGATTCTTTAAAGACAAATGACACATGTAGGTGTAAAATGAGTAGGTGAGTAGTAGGCTTAGAAGAGGGCCAGATCATTGTCAAGTGTCAGGGGGGCTGCACAGATAAAGTGTGGCTTGAGCCAGACCTCAGAGAGATATGCACTTGGACTGGCAGACAGGAGTGGAGTGGACTGTCCAAAACTGATATCTAGGATTCTGGAGGAGTGGGCATTGCTGGAAGGTTACTTGTTAGGGTTCTTCAGAGAACCAGAACCAATAAGGCATATAGAGATATATGAAAGGACACTGATTAGGGAATTACCTCACATGATTATGGAGCCTGAGAAGCCCCATGACAGAGTTTCTGCAAGCTGATGAACCAGGAGAGCCAGCGGTATAATTCATTGTCAGTCTGAAGGCCTGATAGAGCTCCAGAGTGTGAGGATGGGAGGATCCTCATCACCACCAGCTCAGAAAATGACACTTGCACAGAAACCTAGAGCTAGGAGCTAGGAGGCAAGTCCCCGCGTCATCTCAGAGGGATGGCACCAAGCATGAAGCTTGAGAAACACATCCTAATGTGGCAGCCGAGAACGTACCTGCAGTAAGGGTCTGCAATGAAGTGGCAGGAGCATGGGACATAGAAAAACACCAAGGGGAAAAAAAAAGAAAAGAAAACACCCAGGAAGCAGAACATGAGGACTAGGAGAGTGTGTATAGGGGACAAAGGGCAGCACTCAGGCTGTTTCCACGGGAGGATATAGTTCAGCCTAGAAGGCTCAGGCTGCAACGGCCAGGAAAGAAGATGAAGTGATGGTATTGGTCAGATAGAATAAATCTATTCATATATTCATTCTTTGCTTGTGCTTTCAACCATTCATGGATTCCACATTTTCTGAGGACCTTCTAGGAGTTAGTTACTCAGATAACTAGACTCTACCTCATTTCAGTTTACAGGGGCAGCGAGGAGATAGTCATTAAAAGAAGTTGTGATAGTTTTACAGTTGCTGTCATGGAAGTTTATGTAGTGGAGGCAAAGAGGACAGGGTGGTCAATTTCACCTAGAAATTGGAAAGGAGATCAAGAAAGACCTTAAGGAAGATGAAACATTCAAGCTTATTTATTGTATTGGGTAAAGTTTGGGGACACAGAAAGCGGAAATCAGGCTGGGATGACAGGGACCAAAACACTGATGAAATTAAATAGCAGGTGAAGTGGGAAGAAAAGGGTGGGCAGAGAGCAGCTTGTGTCTGGCTGGCTCGTGGCATCTGGGAGCACTGCCAGGCGGCAGACGGGAGCACCTGGCAGAGGTGAGGGCACTGGAGTGAGTGTCTGGGAGTCAGGACACTGGGGAGCTTGGTAGCTGTACAGGACATGGGCTGGCAGCGGGAAGCATGGGAGCCGGGGGCCAGAGTCTCTGGTGCTCAGAGGGAGATCATCTTCAGCAAGGGTCTGGGAGAGGACTACGATCTGCCAGTTTCAGAAGTTATTAACACCTCATTATAAAGACACCTTGCCCAGGTAGTTAAACCAGCTCATTCTAACTGTCCTAAATTTACCCATCTCCAAGTTACCCATCCTCCAAGTCACCATATATTTCCCCTGTCCAGCCCTGCCCAAACCATAGGCTTCTCCTAAAACTTATTTCTTGACCTATTTCTCTCACACTGGCTCAGCTTCCCCCATTTGTCCCATTCCTATGTAGTGGAGCAGGCTGGACTTCCTTCTGATGATGTGTAACACCACACCCCTCACTCCACACATGTACACTCCCACAGACACTTCACACACACACTCACCCATCCTCTCTCACATACACACCACGCGGCTTACTTATGTATTCACACCACACATACACACTCACACATGTTCACGGCACACACACATCGCACATGATTCTCCTTTCAGCTCTGTGAACTGTGCCAGAAGCCGGTGACCTGAGGCTGCCCAGCACTTAGAGCTGTGCTCAGTTTTTAGCTGTGATGCGGGAGGAGGGAGTCAAGTGACCTTTTTGTCGCCTTCCCTCTTTGAAAGTCTATGGTTTTACAGTTTTCCCGCTTCCCTCTTCACCTAAGTACTTCGAAGCTTTCATGGAAGCGGGGTGTGGTAAAGGCAGGGAAGAAAGCAAGGGTGGACCGAGGGTTTAGTTTCTAGGGTCTGACCAGCTCTGGCCTTGAACATGATGCCTGGCAAACTCCAGGTAGAACAAAGACCTGGGGTGCTATGGCCACTAGACTGGGCCGATCCCTCTTGGCTGACCCTTCTATCATGGAAACATGGGGTCCACACCATTTAGGGAATTTCATTCTCTCTCTGCCTTCCATTTTTGTCTCCTAGGAAGACATGCTCCATAGTTTCCTAAGCTCCTCACTGGTGGAGGAAATGAAATCGATACGAAAATATGTAATTTACATGTTTTATTGATGACACTGAACTTCTCAGGACAGTTCTGAGATGCTTCCACTGCAGTGTACCTGACATCCTCCCCAACAGCCTCTCTCCTGTTTGTGTTTCCTCGTTCTGTGCCTAGAATTACTCTGAACTCAGTCCCTGCTGGGTCCCCTGCCGTGTTCCGATGTAAATGTGTTGACAAAAGCCCAGAGCTACTGCCCTGCCCAGCACATATTCCCCAAGGCAGACCATGTGGAAAGGGGCACTGCATTTGTATGGAAATCCATCTGTCCGTCCGTCCCAACACCCCACCTCCTTGCCCATATCAATCCACTCCTCCCATTGCTCTAGATAACTGACTAGAATTCCCTAGAAGCGGTTCTGTAGACCCCAGGCGGGCACTCTCACTCTCACCTGAGTAAAATTTTATGGATGATGTCTTTTGATCTTTTTCTAGAAGATGCTGAGAAGACAGAACCAACCAAAGCCACCACCGAGCCTGAGACAGCCCCGCCAGAAGGGGTGGTGGTCAACGGGAAGGAGGAAGAGCAGACGGCAGAGGAAATCCTCAGCAGAGGCTTGAGCCAGATGACCACCAACGCTGACACAGATGTTGATACCTCCAAGGACAAAACTGAGTCGGTCACCAGCGGCCCCATGTCCCCAGAGGGCTCACCTTCCAAGTCTCCCTCAAAGAAGAAAAAGAAATTCCGAACCCCTTCCTTCCTGAAAAAGAGCAAAAAGAAAGAGAAAGTGGAGTCCTGATTTGTGGTACCCATGGACTCCCATCAGCATCCTCTCCTTCCTCCCTCCCCGTTTCCCAACTCTGTCCCTGGAAGCACGGGGGCAAGGAGGGAAAGAATAGGAACCTGGATTACATTCAGAGGGGGAGCTTAGAGATCACCCAACCAACCCCTCACTTTACAGTTACCCCAGAGAAATCAGGTGACTTGCCCAAGGTCACACAGATAGCGGCGGAGCCTGCACTAGAATTCAGGTCTGTGGACTCCCAGTCTAGTGCTCTTTCCACTGTACAACACTGCCTAGCTGTGGGCCACCTTTGTTAGGATGTTGCCCGCCAATCTGAGCCCAGGGCAAGAAGGTCAGTAATGGACCAGGAGCTCTCCCAGGCTCAGGCTAAATCACACAGGTTGAGGCTTCCCCTGAGTAAGGTCCATCTCTTCCAGGAATCCCACCTTCTATGATGGAGCTATCTCCACATTAAGAAATCTCACTTCTCCTTTCCATTTTGGGTCCCTGCCCTGCTGCTCAAAGTAACAAGATAATTGACCCACCCCCTATGCTAGAAGTTAATCTTTATTCCCAAGGCTGATGGCTTAGCTTATGCTTCCCCAAACACTAACCCTGAGCTTTCCTCATGGAACCTCTTGAATGATGGATGGAAGAGTTGTAAGAGATGGCTGACATGAGGGCAACCCGAGTAAGCCTGCTGGCTAGGGATGGTTTAATTAACTTAAGAAACCAAGAACTTGAATGTTTGTATTGTGCATCTCAAGCGCTTCAAAACTAAAACCAAATTTAGCATAAGAGAAGTTGTCTCATGCTCAGGGCAGAAATTTTGGAAAATTTAAACGCTCTGTTGGCTTTGAGTTGTACAAGGAGGATCAAAATAGCACAGGAAATGCTTTGCTTTTCTAGCTTTGCATGATATAGAACAACACGGCTGTCCCTGCCTCATTCTTGTCCAGCAGTCAGGTATCCCCTGACCTTTCCTCAAACCCAGGAGCACTTGCTTGCAGACCAGAACTGGCATCTTACTCTTGGTATCTTTACCTTGGCTCCTTTGGAGTTCCAACTCTGAGTCACTCTTGATCCAACAGAGAAGAATCAAAATGAGTTCTTCAGGATTAATCCTCCTGCACCAGTGCTCAGAGAAATGCTGGGGTGTCCCCAGCCCTGTCACTGTCTGTCCATTCTGGTCCTGGTAATACCACACCTATTTTAACTGGCGATACTTTTCTTTTCACATTTTTCCATGGGGCATTGATAAATGAGCATTGTTGGCTCATAGATCATTGATTCTCTTTAAAGCAGAGTATCTTCAGAGAATATTCCTTTTTGTCCTGATTACTGTAAAAATATTTTTGAAAATTCTTAGTCACAGATTTCCATTTTTAAGTGCTTACTATCTGTAGACACTGTGCAGGCTTTATACACATTCTATCTTCAAATCCGAACAATGAGCTTGTGAGGTAGATAAAACTATGTCTAGTTCATATTGAGGAAACTTGACTCCTAAGAGAACTACTGGCTTGGCTTAGAAAGAGCTGGAGTCTGGATTTGAACCCAGGTCAGTCTGAGTCTTGAGCTCTTGCTTTTAGGTATGGTGAATAGACAACTTTTATCCTCCAGGTGATTGTTTTAGTCCATGAACCAATTCAAAGACTTGTCTCTAGTGCAAGGAGTGGTGTCTCCTGCACTTGGATATAGGAAATTACCTGTGTTCACTCTCATCAATGTACCTTAAGCTTCCAGTGAGTGTGGACTGAAGTGATGCCAGTATGGACCTTTGACAGAGGACAGCAAGAAACACCATCCATCACTGGCTATTTCTTGAGAAGGAAGGAAACTGACATGACCAAGGGAAAGCCAATGCGGAAAACCTAGTGCAGATTCCTAACTGCTGCCCCAGAGCCCCTCCCTCTGTCCTACTTCCTGGTCGGGTCATGTCTAATGATGGATGACCCAGGGGCACTGATGCCTCAGAAAAATCTGTCCTTATGGTAAATGCCTTGAAAAGCCAATCCTTTGATGCCTTCTTTAAAAAAGTTATTTCACATTTATTCATTCATCCTTTCATACCATTAGTTAAGCATCCACTTTGCATCACACATTAGGCTGACACTGGAAAAGCAACCATTGGAACTAGAATAATAAGTGGCAAATGATGTTGAGAGAAGGGAGGAAGGATGTGACCTCTGATGGAACATCATGTGTGAGTGCTTGTTGCTCAGAAATGATGTCAGTCAACTCTGTGCTTAACAGGTTCTCTTTATTCCCTTTATAACAGTGAGGCTTTGCTTAGGTGAAACTCTTGCAACATTGCCAGAACATCATCCTTGGAATTTATGCCATGAGCCCACCTCATGTTTACCAATTTGTTCATTCCTGTATACTCAGAATACCTGCATGGAGCTTGGGTCATGGGGCAGGCAGGGGGTGGGACATGGGGTAAGACATGATTCCCGATGTCAAAAATTCCATGAGTATAGGAGGTCTGTAGACATATTTCACAACAGGCAAGGGTGCCAAGGTGGCATAGGAAAGCAGTGATTGATTGTCTTGGGTACCAGAGAAGCCTTTCTGAAAGGAGTGATGGATGAGTTAGGTTTTCCAGAACAAAAGAACTAGCAGAGTATTTCATAGTGAGGGAAGAATTCACAAAAGCGTGGAAACATGCAACTCCATGGTGTGTTCCACTAGATGTTATGGTATTGCCAGGGTAGAGAGTATCAGGTAGGGGATGGTTCTCTTCTCAGGCAGAGCATAATGAATCTTGTAGAAAGTATAGAGAAGATAGACTTCATCGTGTACAGAGTTGGGAACCACAGTCTTGGGTAGATTTGCACTGTTGAAGAGTCTTTTGTTAGCTGAGTAGGAAAGGGGCTGGAGGTATGAAAGATGTGCTGTGGCTTTTCTAACATGTCAATACTGACACAGGACTGACAACCTGCCCCATGCTACATTGTCCTCTTTAGTAAACAGTGAGTTTCCAGCCCAGGATTCCTCTCCATAAAAGTCTTTGTATAAAGCATCTTAAGAGACATTTTCAACAAGAGAGGGAATTGTTCAAAGTGCTAATGCTTAGTACACAGTATCCGGATTCTGTTTGCTTTGGCGTAGAACTGCTGGGAGGAAGTGTTGGGTCATTGTAGCGCACTTAGCTCTAGCCTGGAGGGTGTGCACCAAATGCTACTGAAACACATCTGCAGGGTGAACAAAACCTTAGGTTATGGGGGAGAGAGAGAAGAAAGGGCATTTTCTATGGCACTGCATAGAAACTGGCTAAAAATCTAACAAGCATCTGATAAGGAGAAGTTGAATATTCATAAGGTCAGAATTTATAGATAATGGGCTTATTCTGAGTCGAACCTCAGTGCTTGGACGCGCACAGAGAAGAGATAAGAGAATTTGAATCAATCTGCTGCACTGTGAATGGCCCACAGAGTGGAGGGGTTTCAGAACCTCTTTCCATGGGCAGGTGGGCAGAAGGAGGGATGGAGATGAAGAGGGATGAAAGATTTTAGGGAGACAAGCTTGGCTCTGATGACTTGCATTAGTAACTGGTAGCCTGTTGTAATGTTGGAGAACCATCCACCTCACATGATCTTCCCTTCACTGCAAAAGACACTGTGAAACAGACCCATGCCCCAGTCCAGAGCCTCCCAGCTTGCATCTGACCCAAGTCACTGTCCTGCTTCAGCCAAGTTGTACACATGGTAATGATGCCCACAAACACTTCGATAACTAACACGAGGTTCTTCCTCTGTGGACAGCCAAGTTCTTTTCAAAGAACTTGGTAGGGGTAAATTTGAATGAGGAGCAGTAGGTTTTTACGGTAAGAACCCCATTGTAAACCATTGCCCTGTGCCACCAAACCTCATATACTGAGCCTTGATCCTGTCCCCGTGGGATAACAAACTCACTCATGGTAATGTGGCAGGACAGTTATTCAGATACTTGACACTATTGTAACAAAGGGCCATTGCTCTTGTCAACATGGGGGCAATGCCGTATATCCACTTCTTTGGCTGCTGTGGATTTGAAAGAACCATTTGCTCAATGACATGATGCACTTCCAAAAGTCTAAAAGATTAAACATACGTTTGGACTTTTCCAGGAAGATGTGCACAAGGATAGAAAGGCACCTAGCCTATATCGTAGCTGGTAACCCATGTTTGAATTTTAGGCCCAAGAGTAACCCACTGTTGACTTTGAACAGATGTGAAAATATTTACACCTACTCATTTTACACACACAGGTCAGCAGGAGCCCTTGGATGGTCAGCACATTTGCGTTGACTTGAGGACAGGGGAAACAGGTCTTCTTATGTCTTTGCTTATTACCGAGCCCAGCTGAACTCTCAGAGCATCACATTCAGAGTCTGAGGAGAAACAAGAAAATAAAACCATGATCTCCAATCTCACAGAAAAAACAGCACACTCCACAACTCAAAACCTGAAAAGACATCATATGTGTTTCACTCCTGCCTGTCGCATGGAGGAGCCATAGTCCCCCAGGAGGCAGGGCGGAGAGTTCAGGTGGGTGTTCTTTAGTGGAGAAGGCACCTGTCATCATTTTATGTAGACAGTTCCATGGACAATGTAGGCTTCGTAGGAACACTTAGAAATAATCTCCAGGTGGAGAATGTTCTTAAAAACATGTAAACAGGGGCTTGCATTGATGCATACTCAGGTGGTAGTAAGTTTTGCATTGATGTTTGGTACCACTTTCCTTCAAGGTTTTCCCCAAAGTTGGATCATTGCTATGAGAAATTGAGGTCTGAAGATGGAGAAGGAAGATCATGATCAGTGCAGGAGGGATTGAGGTGCAGCTGGCAATGGCCTCAGCATGAGAAGGCACCACTAGTCTTCCTGTGGTCGGGTCCTCAGCTCCTTTCCTATCTCAGCCCTCTTTCCCAAGGATCAGGATGTGCTGGCTGTGCTAGGGTACTTCCCTAGTCTCTAAGAAGAGTAAAGAAGACATTTCTAGGGCCTACAGGGTAGTGGGAGGATAGCTATAGTATCCCTGTACCCTAAACTCTCTTCCCCACCAGCAAATCATCTTGTATAACTTTCAAAAACCTAAACGCCAGGCATTTCCTTTTAAAGTGAATCAGAAAGAGGACAACAGCAGGACCAAGGACAGAGGAGCCACACTTGAAAACAACATTCCAGTTATACAGTGGCAAATATATTTTGAGGAGCCCCATCCCCTCATTTCAACTCCACCTTTCCTGCTGTATTGGTGATTGCTGTATTGGTTCTGGTCTGCGGGTGACTATTTGATGCCCTGGGACTGGTCCACCTTTAATTCCCGTGATCTACGACACCCACTGTCCCAGAGTTTGCCTTCTCCAAGGAAGCTGCAAGATGGGGAGACTAACAGTCCAGAGCCTAGGATGACCCAGCTGGGGTATTGGGTAGCAGGAACCCAGTCTAAGTGGAGAATGCAGTGTTATCTAAAGCTGTGGATGGTTTCAGTGAGACGTCTGTGTCTGACAATCGTCATGCAAGAGTACTACTTACTGTCTTCCCTTGTACATACATTGTCTGTGTTTAGTTTTTCTTAGTATTGTGAGGTTTTGAATAGGGGTTCCATGTAAATACTCTTTCTGCTACTAAAATGCCAGCCCCCTGGATCATGCACCATTCCCACAAATGGTTTTGCCTTTCTCTGTGCTAACACTTTTGAGCCACTGATGTGCAGATGGATGGTTAATCTCCTGGGCTTTTATTTTGCAATTTTATATATATACACATATATAATATATATATTTATGGGTTGGTTTTGTATAGTTTTCTGTTTGAATCTCTGAGCACCAAAGCTGCCCTTTGATTTTCACAAGAACTTTCCAAAGCCACTTCTTGAGCCCTTTTGCTGCTTTGGTGTCTGACTGTGTTGCTGGGTGGTATGTCTGCCCGTGGGTTTCTGTATGTATGTGCTGTTATCTCACCTGCAGAAATTACCCTAGTAAATCTGACATGCTTGGCTTCCTGGTGTGTGTGACCCATCTCTGTTGGCTTCTCAATTCTTCTGACTCCAGGGAAGCTGAAGTCAGAAGTGGGGGTGTCCATTTATTTATTTTTGAGACAAGGTCTCGCTTTATAGTTCAGGCTGGCCTTGAACTCACTTTGTAGCTCAGGCTGGCCTCAAACTCTCAGTGATCTTCCTGCCTCAGTCCCCAAAGTGCTGGGATTACAGGGGTGTGCCACCTCGCCCCGCAGGGGTTCTGTTTATGGAAACACTGACCACACAAGAAGCTTTCATCCTTGGGGCCATTCTCATGTGGAAAGCTGAGCAGTTGTATAATTGAGTTCTAGTGGGAGAAAGGAGGTCATAAAATATTAGGAGCTTCTGAAAAGGGAAAGTTAATGTGAATCTGAAAACAGTTCTGTAGAGCAAGATCCATTTAGGCAGGTTGAGATGGGGGTTGTGGAAACAAGCACACAGACAGTCCTACAGTGGGGGATGTGTGGGCTGCAGTGTAATGGGGTGTTGGGCAGAATCAGATGGCCAAGGGAAAGTCACCTCAAAGGGGAGGAAGGGATTGCAGCTACTAGCAGGGGAGAAGAGAGAGGAAAGAGCTCATCATACCTCTCCGTCTCCTTTATGCAAACAGTACAGAGGATGCTCAGTATTTTGTTGAGAATCCACGCACATCGCACAGGCCCTCTTTAAGGTCTTACACATGGCACCTCATTTAACCCCCAAAACCCCAAAGGTGGTGTGTTATTGCTACCCACTTCACAGATGAGAACACAGGCTTCTCTGAAACAAGGAGACTTTTCCTGGACCACAAATTCGTGTGTAGTGAAGTCCAAATCCAAGCCGAGTGTTTTTAGGTAATCTTGTTCCTATTACTTCATCTGGCTCTTTCCACTACTTCCCCTGCAGTTTCAGATGGTGCTGGGGACCCAGATGTGCCAGGTGTGGAACTCTTCCTCCTCCCCATTTCCACTGTGTGACTAAGGAAATGCTAAAGGGGGAGCAGCGCGCCCTCTACCGGCCAGAAATGCTAAGGAGCAAGGCAGAACCCATGGCCAGCCAACCCCTAATTGCTACTAGGAAAAAGCGAGAGTGGAGAGGCAGTGGGAAGGACCCCCCCCCCCATCATGGAGGGCAGGGTCTGCTGCAGCAGACAGGGAGGAGAGCGGGGAGAGAGGCTCAGGAGGTTGGAAATGTGGTGGGACCAACACTGGCCTCAAGAACTGTGAACAAGGTGCTGGGTTTACACTGCTGAAAACAGGACCATGTTGCAGAGTCCAGGGGAGAAGAAGCGGGACTGGGAGGAAGATTTGCCTCAGCCTCAGAATCCTGACAAGGCCACTGAAGGGGGCCATAGTCCCAGTTTATCCTGGTTACCCAAATAAATACGCAAAAGGGGAACTTTCAGCCAAGCTCTTGTGGCTCCCACCACCGCCACGCAGACAACGCAATCTTGAATCCGGCAAAGTGTAAAAGAAATAGAAACCATTCCTTTTCTGCTCATTTGGGCCTCTGCACTGGGAGCCAAACCTTTGTGACAGGAGCCACCTGAAATTTGGATAGAGCTCTCACTCTATTAAGAGTAAGCATGGCAGCAATTTTGTAGCAGCAGACCAGGGTAAGTTTCATGCTGTAAAAGAAGGCCGGTCTGAGAAGCTACAACACGTTGTCCTAAATAAAACTCAGTTACTGGCAAGAGCAGGAGAAATGTTAAACAAATCCAATATTCTGCCCACTCATCATAAAGGAGCACTTTAAACCAAGACAATTTTTTTTTTTTTTTTTGAGACAGGGTCTTGCTATGCAGTTCAGGCTGGCCCTGAGCTCACTTTGTAGCCCAAGCTGGTCTCAAACTCACAACGATCCTCTTGCCTCAGCCTCCTGAGTGTTGGGATTACAGGCATCAGCCACCATGCCCAGCTAAGACAATATTTTTTAGTAGTGAAAAATATTGTCATATTTTAAAATGAGACAGGCAGTCGACAGCAGCTTGGCTGTTGCGGATCATAAATGAGGCATACATGAATATATGTTGAGGTGTGGGGGATCCCAAGTCTACCACTTGACAGAAAATTAACCAATCATGTATCCAGTTGATTGGAAAATTAATATAAATAAATTAAGATGGAAGCAAAGCAATGAGAAATTAAGTAAACATACAGCTAAATCTAATTTCTTATTGTTAATTTTTTTGGTCTTTTTGAGACAGGGCTTCGCTATGCAGTTGAGGCTGGCCTTGAGCTCACTTTGTAGCCCAGGTTGGCCTCTAGCCCTCAACGATCCTCCTGCCTCAGCCTCCTGAGTGCTGGGATTACCAGCATGCACCACCACTCCTGGTTTTCTCATTGTTAATTTAACAAACAATGCAAGTGTTTAGAAAGTTATTGAAATGTATGTCTTCTAGTAATAACTTGGACCAGGATGGAAGTAAAACATCCTAAATTCCTCGTTTTTAACAGAAGAGATTTAATAGATTATTTAATTTTTTAAATTGTTAGAATACTGGTCCAATTACATATAGCATATTATTGTATTAGTTAGTGCATTTCAACATATGAATTTGGGTAGGAGAAACAAACATGTAGTCATAACCATTGTGAGCATAGAGATAGTTTATAAAAACTTAGAGGGTAATTTTCATTAAAGGCTATAACTTCTGAATCACTGAAGAAAAAAGTAAGAATGATAAATAAATAAATCAACAAAAACCCAGTTAAGATAGAGTAACAGAGAACAATCGTTCTTCCTAAAATAACGTGAAAATGGATAATGTATGAAACTATGATCTTCAAAACACTTCACATGCTGCAGTGGAAGACAATGATCCCAGAGAAAGGGGAAATGCATGAAGGGAAATCTGTGGCTGTCCCACTGTAGGGTCTTTGAGAATTTCTAGTTTGTGATGCATGGAGGGTGAATCCAAGCAGAACCTGAAAAACACTCTTAGTTAAGGAGGTGGTGCCGAGTTCTGAGAGACCAAGGTAGCTGAAGTTTGCACACAAGAATCCCACAGAGACTGCACAGTGATGAAGCTCTGGCATGGAGCTCTTCCTCCTTGAGCATTCAGCTGTTTGGTCAGGTGGAAGGAAAGTACCCACAACCCAGGAAATAACTATGAAAAAGAATTAGAAGTAACGGCGTCCAGCACCAACACAGGAGAAGGAATAGTGAGAATATCAGGCACACTGGAAACCTCACGACTCACAGGGTGCTAGACAGGCTACACAGAAGGGCTCCCTGTCTTGCCTCAGCAATGGAGAATAAGTGATGCTTTGGACTTATTCAGCAAATGTTAAATACAAGACCCCAAAAGATCCAACTGTTCCCAAGTGATGTAATGGTATGTCACGACAAAGGTTAAGATTATTTATAAGAATATAGAACTATCTAAAACCAAACAAGGAAAATTCACACTGACATCTAATAATTACCAGACATACAAAGAGGCGGGGAGGCAGGACTGATAATGAAGAGGAAAAAAAATCAGGCAAAACTGATCTATAACTCACTTGGGTGTTAGACTTCTCAAGCAAGTTACGATAGCTATGTTCCATGTGTTCAAGACTAAAGACACAGAAAGTATCAAAAAAGATGCAAAGCTTTTTGAGGTGACACCTATGATGTGTGATGGGGTTAACAGATTAGAAGTTGAAGAAGAGAAGATCAATGAGCTTGAAGACAGCAACAGAAACTATCCAAAATGAAACAGAGAAAGGGGATTTTTTTTAAAGTAAGCAGTTAACTTCAGGCAACATAGTATATATGTGCTTGGAATTCCCGGAGTATATGGGGAGGGGATAGGAAAAGTATTTAAAGAAATAATAGCTGATATTTCTTCAGATGTGATAAAAACTATTAATCCACAGATCAAAGAAGGTCAGTGAGCAGATGGGAAATAACAAATTGCTCAAACCCAGGGGTAATGAGAAATCTTAAAAGTTACATATATATGCTTTTTGTATATAAAGCATATTATATAGCATAGATACATACAGAGGGATAATTATGAACATAAAAGCTTATTTTTGTAGGAAACAGTACAAGTGAGAAAACAGTGGTATAACACTTTTAAAGTACTGAAGTAAAGCACTGCCCACATAGAATTCTAGGTCCAGTGAAATCTTTTTCCAAACGAAAGGTGTAAGGATGGGTAGTAAGGGGCATGAATATGATTAAAATATGTTATGCACATGGGGCAAGGAAATCATAGAGGAGGACTAAATCGTGAATATTATGTGCATGCATGAATCTGCCCAAGTGAAACCCGTTAATCTTTATATCCTATGTACACAAGCAAAAATCTCTGGAAAATAGAAAAAATAAATAAAGGTGAAGTAAATGGGAGTAGGAAGAAAAATAAACAAACCAAAATTATAGAAAAGAGATTTTAACACTCCTCTCTGTCTCTCACAAACAAACAAAACAACAGGTGTGTGTATAGAGGATTTGAAGAATGGTAAGCAAGCGTACACCCTGTAAGCAGAATGCACAATTTTTTCAAATGATCACGAGATAGCTACAAAAAACATTCAGCAACCGGAACGCAAGACACGAGTAACTACGTACCTTGTTTTGACAATCGCCTGGTCATTTTCTATTGCCATTACCAAAGATGCCCACCAGGAGGCAACAGTTCCTTTCTCTGCTCTCACTTTCCAGAAAGTCTCCGGAAGGACTCTTTCTGTATTTTGGCCGTCAGTCCCCGCCAGCACAGTCATGATTCTTGGAAATGATGAAGCTCTCCTCACTCATCCAAGTCCTTAGAACTTAACTGTTGACCATGTCTGAGCAGCGCTTAACACTAACCTAACACCTAGTACTCTGGGCTCAGCTCCCTGATCCCCATCTTTGGGGCCGCCACCCCAGAGGTCCCAGCTCACCCCAGCCTGTTCTCTTGGCAAAGAGGCCAAGTAGAGTAGTGAGGAGGAGCTCAGGACTCTGGAGCCGCGCTGCTTAGAGTGAATCCTGGCTGTGAGGCTCAGGAGCTCTGTGCCTATAAGTTACT